AATAGCAGCTATATTTCCATAACAGAGGACTTTAGTCATGCAAATCCTCCCCCTCAGGCCCAAGGATGTCAGACAGGGAAGGTGAGATTCAGCCTTCCTTTAGTGAAGAGTGTGACACCTCTATAGAAGAAATGCAGAGCAACCATGGGCTCTTCCAAATTCCAAACACAAAAAGCCAGCACAAAGTGTTCCTGGAAGACACAATCATCTTCATTGTCTCTGCTACTCTGTACCAGCCAGATCCCTTGAACTCTTATGCTGGAAGGTGAAGGGATGTACAAGAGTTTTCTTAGGCTAACGTGGGCTCTTATTATTAAAAAAACCCAAAAAAACCCAAAACGCCAAAAAAACCAACCAACCAACCAACCAACCAACCAAAAAGAAAAAAAAAAAAAAAAAAAAAAAAAAAAAAAGGACGAAAAAAGTATTCATTGAAGAGAGAAATAAAAAAACAGCAAATAGCCTTTCTTCTTTTCCCATGACAGGTCTGTAATTTGAATCCCCTGTGGTAATTTTGTAAATCAAACTTCTTTTGCTCTAAGAGAAGAAGCCAGATGGGCAGTGGGGCAATGTCTCTCTTTGGTATGGCATTTGGTATCTAGCCTGGTACTCAAAGCTGTAGGCATTTCCCTTCCCCTGCTATTGCAGCTGAATGACTTTGCTGTGCTGATTTGAAACGACCTGACTAATCTCAACTTCCTCTAACAGTTTAATGAAATGTCAGAAGTTAACACTGTTCACAGAACTGAAAAAAGGCCATTCAAACAATAATGAAAGGAAACACATGGACAGCAGTTTTTAAACAGTTTTGGGCTATTGGAAATAATTCAATGAGCTTTAGTCAAGCTGCAGTACAAGCATACTGAGATGCGACCCAAAAAAAAAAAAAAAAAAAAGCATTTTTCATCTGGACTGTTTAATATATTTCAGGATTACAAAAAGGACATATATAAGAAAAGCGATAATTAGGTAAATTTGAAAAAAAAGAGATATCCTTCCTGCCCCTCTTGGATCATCTGGTGTTTGGAAATACAAACAACAGAGCAACGGTTACGTGGCACTGGTTCCACCATCTGAAATTACAGCAGGCAGAGGTAGCAATGATCTGGCAAGTTGAGTCCTGCTCCTTTCCAAAAGAAGTTTAATGGTGTTCTCAAGTGCAAAGGAATTGAATACACTGATCATGATTCCAATCTGGTAGAATACCAACTCAGAGGAAAAAGCTTACACTGTACTCCCCCATTAAGCACAGTACAATGGGCTAAACCAAACACGTCATTGCTTTGTCCATCACTAGTATTTTACTTCCTCTTAAGAAGTTATTGAAGTCTACTAAAATAGCATATTTTAGTAAGCTCCCAGATTTTGTGACCTGCCCACTGGAATTATTTTTTGCTTCCAGCTGAAGGAGAGACACGGTTTTGTTGGTAGCAGTACCAGTTATTGCCAAGCACTAATCCTTCTCCCGTTATTAATTTTTCCTCAGGTAGGTATCTTCATATGTTATAAAGGTGACAGATGTTTAGTGCAGTTGTCCTCTGAAGCACAACATCCTGTAAGGCAAAACCACGCTTTCTAGAGGCTACCATCTCTCTCACCTCCCTCACTACCATTTTACTGTAGAACCTGGAGACTGCAGCATCAGTCTGGCTCTTGTACATAGTCTCTAGGACTTCCCATAGTGCAGACTGTACATCCTTTGACTGCCTCAGAATTCCAGGAAGTCTCTCCTCCTTCCCATCACAGCTTCAGCTGTGATGTAACTCAATTATACTGCTGCTGCCTCTCAGCTTTCCAGACATCCATGGGTGGATGGATATAAACTTTGTTTAGTAAACTCTACAAAAGAGTTTAATCAGCCTTAGGGATGACTACAGGCTCATTAACACTTGCCCATAGTTGAGCACTCAAAGTTGAGAGATGCCAGCTTAGAGCAGTAATGGGGAACCAACTACTCTGGCAACCTTCTGACTCTCCAGCTCACTCCCTATGGAAAAAAAGGTTCCATGAATACGTAAAAGAAGACAACACTTGCGCAGAAGCTTGGTGGAGAAGGGAGCAGCCTGAAGGTTGGGCAGGCAAGCTATCAACACCAGAGTTCAGTGCTGCAACCAAATGCCATTACCTTCATGTATTTTTGCACTAGGCATTGGAAAGGCTGAACCTCTAAGAAAACAGGCAATGTTATATAAAATATCATTCCGAGACCCTATGTTTACATGACACAACGTTTGAAACCTAAATGTTCATATTTGCTGCACAGGTCTTTTGAGTTAATGATTTAGTACATTAGCATTACATTGCCAATCCAGACAGAATGGGAAAAAATTACTTGTAGGAACAGATGCAGCTGTGAGAGACTGGAAGAACAAAGGAAAAACTGAGAGCCAGTAAATACAGGAGAAATTATGAAGATCACTAGAAGCTGGAAGGAAGAATGTGGGCCACAATAACTTTACAAAATGATGCTAGGCCATTACAGAGAAGGCAATGAGATTAGTACAAGCATATAGGGAAGGTAGTTCTTTTCTAAGAGAAGAAATGTCCTAAGAGAAGACAGACTTATAAGCCATAGCATCTGTCCTTGTCTTTAGAAAATAATTCTGTTCCTCACAACACTCCCACTGAAAAACGAATCCCTTGGCATCAGTGCTCAAAGTGTATAATAACCTACAGACACGTCCACAAATTCACTACACAGGCATGTCCACAACTGCTCTTGGAGCTTCCTGGGAATTCCCCTGGCTACTTACACTTTGGCAATTTTAGAAGGTCATGCTGGGTTAACGCCTTACGTATCCTGAGATCTGGATTTTAGCATGATGGTATCAGCACAGAGGATTGACTGCAGCTGCTCAAACCTCATGAAACAAAAATTTCAGTTTGCATCACTGAGTTATCACATAAAATGGGGGGCTGGATTGACAGAGCGCAATGAGTTAGGGATGGTGCCAAACAAGGAGCTGGTACTGCTAGGAAGAAAACCTTAGATTCTTAGTCAATGCCCAGAGACAGAAGTGTTTCACCTCACAAACTACTTCAGCAAAGTTCAAGTGTAAAGACATAATTCAGTATTTCCAACAGAAATTATTTTTCTTCTGTGAAAAGGTAATAAATGACATCTCACATTACACCACTGGGTCAATATATTACATTCTTTGCTCTGCTAAACTACATGATGATATCCTGGAACACAGAATCTAAGGAAGTGAAATTAGCTGGCCATCACTGCAGATGAAGTGTGGGTTTGTAAACAACTACATTTTGTACTTGCACTAAAAGAGACACTGCAATCTACCTCTGGCGTTTTAGAGCATTTAAGTTTCCATTAAATTTTAAGGTATTATTTAACTCAGGATGCTGACAAGAGAATTCCCAAAAATGCCAATCTACTTACACACTCCTGACTTGCTTCTTATGCTTGTGAAAATCTCAACCGCATGTAATAAAATTAAAAAATACTTTCTCATAAGAAAGTATGCTTCAGGGGATGACAGTGTAATGAAATATTTGCTATCACTCTACTGCTTACCAGTTTGTAACTCAAATCACAGGTTTTACAGGCTTGTATAAATAAACAGTGCAGGAAGAACCTATCTCTGTAACACAGAGCTAAAACAGTCTTCTATAAATGTTCTGAATAATTTCCTTCTAAATTTTAGCTCAGCCATTGTACACTGCATAACTGAAAAAAGAGATAGATACAAGATGCAATGAGGACACTTCGCCAAGAATTCTGTCTTTCTTAAGAATTTATGTGGACTACTAGATCCTAACAATTTAATTCTGCTAAAATCAATGGGTATTTTACTATCAGCTTCAATGACAAGAATATAAATAAAGGAATCATATTCAAATGGAACATGGAAGGACATAATAAAATTTCATTACCTGCATTCATCAGGGTTTGTACCTAAATTAAGCACTGAACCTATAATAAATAAGCACAAGAGCTTAATGTGAATAAGCCAACAATGCTAGGAAATCTCTATGTTTTGTCCTCTCCTTTTAGTTTTCAAGTACTTCTCTTGTAAGAGTCTACACAGGAGAAAATGACCAGGATGGGACAGATAGTTCTCTCTAATACAGAACAGATGATGGATGTATTCTCCAATTCTGATGTAAAGGCACAGCATGTTTCACATTGTATTCTGCAGATAGTATTCCAAACCCATATAATCTTGTATTTCATACAAATCAAAGGATATTTAGGAAAGTGAGTGTCCTTTACACAGTCTGAGGAGCCCAAGTAAAACAAATAGATTTAAATTATCACCAAAAAAATTCACATAATTTTCCAGAGAAGCATGGTAATAACCTATGTTTTTCACTGTCTTTCTATGAAAATATGAACTCTTAACCTGCAAGTTAATTATCTTTTCCAACTCCTACTTCACAAATATTGCACCACTCCAACTTTTTCATCTTTTACTTACTTTGGAATTTAGTATTGCTCGGAGTTCTTTTTCAATTATTCTACATTTGTTGATTATTTTAATGCACTGCAAATCTGCACAAGAGGAGCATCTACTCTCTCTCCAACCACAAAAATGACATTCCATTAGTGTCTGGCAACTTAATTACTGCATGTTTTGGGTTAAGACACAGAGTTACAGCAGGTAGATGAAAGAAGGTGTCTAGGTGCTTATGCATGTACACCCTCTTAATTCGTAAACAAGAAGTTAAAAAAAACAAACTACTCCACAACAGTATCTTCCCAGATTCTTCCAGCTTCTGGTATAAATTATTTAAAACTTAAATTCTTTCACTTCATCCACAATTCTGAAGACTGCTGGCTTTGTCTCTCTGTTCACATCCAAAATGTCTGGAGTAACGTAGTGGGGAAGTGAGAGACCACCAGAGGAAGACCCTATAAGGGCAGGCCTGTGATGAACAAATGCTGTGTACACCATGCATCCATAAAAACCACATGCAAATCCTGACAAGACAACTTCACAGCACATAATAGCCCAGTAACAGAGTTGAACTGAGGTCAAGCCTGGAATTACTGATTTTAATTGTCTCCTTCTAATTTTTTTTATCCTCCTGGCTTTTTTGTATTGTAAGATCACAAATAAGTTGTGTACATATTGGTTCTGAATAAAACACTGAAACATGAGTTTATTGTTTCTCGTTGTTGGAACTTCCTAGAGGAAAAATATTGCCAAAACAATTTAATAGTGTATTCAAAATTAAGAGTGCATTTTGACCCAAGTGACTATAAATTAACCTAAAAAAAAAAGAAGAAAGACAATAAATTCTTCATTTTCCAAACAAATCAGGAAAATAACTGCAACAAAAGAGCATTTCAAAGAGTCACTGAACAATACTGAGAAAGTATGTCTGCTAATCAAGGTAAGGACAGCTCATTCAGAGGAAAGACTTCCACAGCTTGAGGCTGGAAGCTGTGTTTGGAGAAATGTGCTGTAAAATATTAAAATATTTGAGCGTCGTTAATTTTTGATATACCTTCAACAAAACCAGAACTCCATTTCACTTCTCATAAGATTGTGACTTCAGAGAAGCAAGACATGTTTCCTGTAAAGCACTTGAATGATGTGTTTCAAATTTGTTTCAAAGGTGAAACTTTTCCCGAGATCCTCACATGTAGGATGGTCCTCATGCCTCACAGTGTTACTCAAGGCTGTTGCCAAATATCGCAGTACCAATTGTGACAACCACGGGAGAAAGGGGAGTTTTCACAATAGGAATTGTGCAATCAGATTAGCCAGTCCAAGGAGGATTATAAAGATGTGAATAATCAGTGCGGGCCACGTCAGCTGCCCAGCACGGTGCAGGGAGATCATGTAGATGAGTGATGGATACACGAACACAAAGGCCAGGCCACATGTTGCTCCAGAGTATCTGAGGAAAGGGAGGGAAGAGGAGAAGAAAAAAAGAAAAAAAAGAATTAATGCTTTGCATTTATTCTTATTTCTTGTTGTCATTTCCCCACGCCAAACCAATGAACAATCTGGAAGAATACTGACTATCTGCAATCAATAAACATCAATTTCTGTTCCTTACTGACCTCTACCTCCTTCACTAGCACTTAATTACCACTCTCTGTGTTGTTCAGCCCCCTGCTTGCTTGTACCGGCACTATGGCATGGCTCTGTCCTTTCAGCCACACCCTGTGATGCTGTTGGGGACCAAATCCCTTACTTAAGCCTTGATGCTTCTATCTTCTTTGGGGAAATTTGTCAACATGCAGCAGAAAGAGACGTAAGAGTGCATCCTCTATTACACATCTTTTACTGTCAGAACTGCAAATCTCATTGCACCCCAGCCATCTGAGAACACAGATTAAACCATTTAAATATAGAAATGTTTCTGAATCTGCAATTCTGATTTTAATTTATTTACTGAGCTTCTAGCAAATCTTCACACCTAAAAGGAACAAAATGTCCTTCTGGTAACATGATCAACCACAGCAAGGGAAACATTTAACTGTTCTTTTTCTAACCTATCCCTTGTTTACAAAAATTTTCTCATAACTTTCACCTACTAAGAAGCCAAATTTTGTTATTAAGTAACAACATATTTTGTTTCATATATTTGAACATTCCTTTCCAAGGAATGATCAGTCTGGTTGCAAGCATGCAAGTTAGACTGCATAAAGAAAATTTATCTGCTGGACACCCACTATTCAATGTGTTTGGTTACTATGCACAATATAGACACATCAGAAGAGATAAGCACCAGTTTGCAAACAGCGGTATGTATTGCACAATGTTTAAACAAATTAGGTATCAGGAAGAAGAAATTCTCTCCTGTCAGGGTGCTGAGGCATTGGAACAGGTTGCCCAGGAAAGCTGTGGATGTGATGTCCCTGGAAATGTTCAAGGCTAGGTAGGATGGGACTCTGAGCAACCTGGTCTAGCAGCAGGTGCTCCTTGCCCACGGCAGGAGGTTGGAACTAGGTATCTTCAAGGTCCCTTCCAACCATAAGGGCCATTCTATCATTCTAAGAGTCTGTGATGACAATTAACTTGACCATTTCTATTACTGGAATACAAAAAAATTTACTACAAGGAGAGACAGAAGAAAAAGAGGAAATGGGGAAAACCTTCAAAGATCAGCCACTGAGCAAAAGTAAGTTATTTTGCTACTTTGGTCAGACCCAAACCTGTCATTCTGGTTTTATAATTGCAGATTTCGCTATTTTTAAACACCTCCCTCTCCTGGTTGCTTTAGGAAAGATGCAAACCAAGAATAAATGACAATGCATATAAATATGTTGACATCAAACATAGTAAAGTAAGACTCCTTATTATTTCCTCTAATATTTTCTCATTATGGAAATCCTAGCTTTTCATCAACATAGTAAATTTGAGATATCATTTAGAGGCACTTTGATGCCACTTGCTTTCTTGGATTTTTATTATGGACCTTCAGTTCAGGTTGAAATGGTCTGAATACGAAACAGAAACATTGGGAGAAGTACACAATAACAAAGCAACTTTTCTTCTGGTACCATACTCATTTATGAGTAGAGTTACAAGGTCCTAAGGTACAGCTCTGGTAAAACTCAACCACCTCAGACACAGAGGCAGAATAACAGATGTCAGAACTTTGCAAGCTGATTGTTTACCCACCAAATCATTATTTTACAACTTAAGAAGGCATAAGCTTCACAAAATATAAAGGTACAATTATTAGTGCTCCTTTTCAACATCAAGACACAAATATAGTAACACCACAGGGAAGCTCACTGCAAGTAACACTCACCTTATGATACCTCCTATATTTGGATAAAATCTTGCCATTGCTACTCCAGCTCCTACAATGGCTAGGTTCAGGATAAGCACATGGAAAAGGCTACATGAAAGTGAGGAAAGAGTGTTAAAATCTGTTATATTTTTTACAAAATACCACCACTGGCCATCATTTACTCTAATATTTAACTGGTACATGGATGGTGCTTTCATTTGCATGACTCACTCTATTAAAGCTAATTAATTTCACAGCAAACATGTCATCTACTGAATATTCAGAGTGCCAATTTCTAAATATCTAGTATTTTGACTCAAAATATTCTTAAGAAATAAGAATGTGTAATTTGGCAATTCTTACGAAAAACATCATACATGGTACTCAACACTCAAGTATTTCAGATGGATATTCAAATACCAAAGAAACAATACTGTATAACTTAATTCCCACAAGAAAAAATTAGCTTGTTTGCAGAATGAGCTGAATTGCTCGAAGTGAACTAATGGAAACCAGAAGAAAGGCAAAGATGCATCAAGTGGAAAACATTACAAACACTATTAAAATTTGAACTCTACTGCATTTTGATAGAGGACAAACATTTAAAATGTTGGATGTATTACAGTATATGAACTGCAATGAACTTCCTTGCTCCTGCCCTATTTATGCTGAATTTTTTTTACAAATAATTTCCTGTCGCTTTGCTTTTGCATTAAGGATAAGAAAAATGGAGGTTTTCTGTTCTGCAAAGACAGCTTTTACTGCATCAGACATTCAGTTATGCACAGAGCTGAGACTCAGGAAAGTATCACTTTTCTTTCGGGAATATGAAATGTTGGCATATTTTAGCATAAGGTAAAGTCAGGAAATAGAATAAAAACCTGTGATATTTTGGTCACACAGCTGTTTCTATGAAGGGAAAAAAGAATTCTCACAGAGGAAACATACATACACTTACAGGTTCTGTTTATTCTTCTGGAGGGTATGATTTCCTAAAATATACAAAACCTGTAAGCCAAGGCTAATTTTTTCTTCACTGTAGAAAGTATGTGTATTACGGAGGATCTAACTAACTAACAAACTTTTAAGCAGTGACAACTTCCATGGCTATGGCTAAAAGGCTGCCTGCCAGTTTCCAAGTTAGGAAGAAAGATTAAAAGACATAGAATAGTCTTATTAAAGTTCAGGGAAATGAAGGCAATTAAAGCACAAAGGAATAATTTAAGCTATGTACTGTTTTTGACCTTCAATCTTTAAAATTTGTTTCAAAAAGACAAAAAAAATCTTCAATTTTTTACATTACATTTTTACAGTGGTACAAGAGGGGTACCTTAGAGATCAACAATTGCAATGAGACCACAGCAGCTGTATAAGATTAAAAAAAACTTAACTGAATATAAATCTGGTAAGACCCCATGAACAAAACATAAAATCCCAAGAATCAGACTTCTTAGGGACCGAATTTGTACACCTCTCTAATACTGCTAAGGAAAGCCAGTTAACAGACCTGTTCCCAAAAAAGTGTCTGCCATTAAAAACAACTTCCTCTCTCCTACACGTGGCAGATTGCAAATCTTAATATCACACAATCAAAGCAGAAAGTTTATGGACACAGAAAATGACAGCACTTCTTCCACTCTCTTTTTGCTGAGATTATTTTTTTAGCAAGAGGGACTAAAACCAGTGGAGGCTTACTAGTTCAAAAATGTTCTGCAAATTTGTGTCAGTTCAGAGTATTTTAGCAGAAAACCTGAAAAATCTCTGAAGTATTTTATTCTGGCATGCTTTGAAGACGTGATTTTGTTGTTCAAAGCTGTTGTTTAAAAAAAATTACTTCTAGATTCTCTTAAATTTTGGAAGTAAATAGGAGTGTCTGTATCTCTGGTGTGAATTGAAACACTTCTCAATTTCTTGATCTGGGAAAGGATTATTGGGTTGAGGGGGGGACAATGTGTTCTGGCTCAATTGAAAACAATTGAAAAAAATTGGTCCTCAAATGCTGAAGTCTCCAAAGCAATTCAGTACTTGTAGAGTAGTGATTTGCAGTTTTCATTGTCAAAATTAATCAGATTCCTCAAGAACAATACCAAAATCAGAAGGTCTGAAAAGGCTTTGCACCTATCTGTTTCAATGTGAAAGATTACACTGCATTCCTTCCCTGGAATGTCATTGCTCCTTTCTTTACCTTTTGAAACAGCCTGAGTTGTAACCATGACAGTGGACAACAGGTATTTAACCAGCAAACCCTTTCTTTTACCCAGGAAGATAGTCACAGCTCAGCTGATCCCCAGGATGGGGGAAAAGTCTTGATCTTGATGGAGAGAAAGGCATTACCATTTATTAAAAAAACCCTACCCTTCTGAATAAAGTAAAATCTGATACCTAGGGCTACAAGGAGCTACACTATTTGAGACAGTACTTTTCTTAAGACTCTAGAGCTCCATGCAGGTATGGAGCAGGACAAGCATTTCTCATAGCCCATGACATTTTAGTAAGTCCTGAATTGTTCAAGTTTAGCCTGACTTTACTGGCTTACAGTAAAATTAATGTTCACAACACATTGCAAAAGGACAGTCAGGAAAACAGCATTTGGAGGCAGGGGAAATAACCACACCACTGCTTACTACAATTATACGAAGAAAAGTATTTAGAGGACATAAGAGATTAGAAAAGATTTGGCCTGTTTGTGCTTAATCATCCTGGTCACGTACAGGTGTTTTCTAAGTGGTGTAACTTTCTCCATCACGGTCAATGGCAGCAGAGCTGGGTGGCCCATGCCAGGGCTGGACTGTCTGCCTGGGCAGCCTGGTCAGGGCTGCTGCTCTGAGGCACAGGTTGGGTTGCCTGAAGGAGGCTATAATTCGCAAAGGAAGCACACCCATGGCAAGTATTTTATATTCTGTCCTCAGTCTCCACACTCTCAGCTGGGCAGATGAAGACTCTAGCTCTTTTCTATAAAGGGAATCACTGCTCACCTGCAAAAATCCTGCAATCCCACAAAAATGGTAATGGAAAGGAGAAGAAAAAAAGATTAGAAGAAAATGCAAACTTTCCCCTAAGTCTTTCTTTTTTTCTCTCCTGGCAAGGTTAACCTTTCAGATTGACAGAGTGGAGAAACAACCTTGTATGCCAGAAGATCATTGAAGGGCTTGCTCCACCAAATTCCCTCCCACTGAAGTGGTAGTGGTAGCTACACTTAAGTCACTGAACAGCAGTGACCATATATATCAATTTAATTAACATATATATCTAATTAACATCCTCAAAGTAAGAATCATGTAAAAAACAGTGAAACCAAATCCTAGCACAGGAGAAATTTAAAGACAGAAAATTTTAAAGAAGATTTTAAATCCCCTCAAGTTTTAAGTTCTCTCAGAAGTTTGAGACTCAGCATGGAGTCACAGGATGAGCACACACAATAAGGGAAACTGGAAAGCAAGGAAAGAAGAAAATCAGGATCACCCAAATAAGAATTTTTGAGAGGTTTCTGTATCTAAAAATGCATTTTCTTCCTGGAAATCTCACTCAAGTGACATTGGTCAAAAGACAATGAATCACAACCTTTAAGAGAAGCTAGGCAAAGATTAGAAGAAGAGCAGACAAGCAAACATGCATGCAAACAGAAGAAATGTATTTCATTGCATCAGAAGACACACATCTCCAGGAGAACTGGCAGGTCTGCTGGGCTACCATGGAGTAAAGGGATGACAACTATTAAGGAAAGCGAAGTGATTTCTGCCTATCAGCTTATTTCACCTCTCAGAACAGGAAAGATGTTAAAAAGTTTTAAAAAATCCTAAGATGATTGTATAAAGCTCTTTATGGACACCATATAATTAATCAAGGGAATCTCTGTCACAAATATTACTGTAGCAAAGAACCAGTAACAATAATAAAAACTGGCTTTCTGTACATATAAGATCCAGAGTCAAGCAAGAAACAGCAGATAAAGCACATGCATCTGGCCCTAAATCAGTTGTTAAATGACGCCATTACAAACATATCTCATTTTAGAAAAGAAAGCAATTACTCAATACACAGAATTTTGGCCTTCCTTAACAACACCAGGGAGAGCAGAGAGAATGAACAGTTCCTTGGGTTTTGTCCCAGTACATAATTTTCCCTCTCGTAATCCGTTTACTAACATACATTTTGCAAAATAAAAGAAGGAATTAGGATGTCTTCTCTCATTTCTAAATCTTTTGCAGGAAGTAGAGAAAGGCAGAAGGATTTGTGGATTGAGTGCACCATCAGCACCAATCTGTGTATGATGCAGTGGACATGTTAGAAGGAAGGGATGCACCTCAGGGAGCTCAGCAAGGCCAAGTAAAAGCCTCCTACACCCAGATCACGGCAATTCCAGGCACACCCACAGGCTGGGCAGAGAAGTGCTTGAGAGCAGCCCTGTAGAAGAAGGTCTTATGGGTAGTGGCTGGTGGAAAACTCACCATTAGCCCACAGTGAGTGCTCCCAACCCAGAAAGCCAAGGAAATCCTGGGCTGTATCCAAAGCAGCGCTGGCCAGCAGATTGAGAGAGGGGTTGTACCCCTCTGCTCTGCTCTGCTGAGACCCCACCTGGAGCACTGCATCCAGCTCTGGGGTCCCCAGCACGATGACAAGGAGTTGTTAAAACAAGTCCAGAGGAGGGCCAGGAGGTTGGTGAGAGGGCTGGAGCACCCCTGCTGTGAGGATAGGCTGAGCGACTGGGGCTGCTCAGCCTGGAGGAGAGAGGATTGTGCGGGACCTCACAGACACCTTCCAGTATCTGAAGGGGCCTACAGGGAAGCTGGAGAGGGATTCTCTGACAGGAACTGGAGTGCCAGGGCAAGGAGGAATGGGTACACACTGAAAGAGGGAGATTTAGGTTATATATATGGAAGAAACTGTACTGTGAGGGTGATGATACAGTAGAACAGGTTGCCCAGGAAAGCTGTGGATGCCCCACCTCTGGAAGTGTGCAAGGCCAGTCTGAATGGGCAAGTATTCAAGGCCAGTTTGTATGAGTAACCTGGTCTAGTCAAAGCTGTCCCTGCTGATGGCAGCGGGACTGGGACTAAATGATCTTCAAGGTCCCTTCCAATCCAAACCACTCTATGATTCTATGTGATGATGCCTGTAAGAAGACTACTGTGTCTAGCATGTGTACACGTGTCTTTGATTTTAAGATAGGCAGAGACACAAGTCACTGATACATGTACGTAAGAGCAAGGAGAATCCTCTTTCTTAGATTCAAGGATGCTTTTGCTCTCGTCCTGACTGTTGGAAGACAAGACTCTCATTTCCTTTCAGATAAGCAAGCTCCCACTGCTCAGCTTATGTCTACTGGGAAACCGGGAAAATTGGAAAATTGTCTGTTTAAGCTTTTAAGTTTGGAGAGGCTGAGCTGCTCCACCACTCAAGACTATGGGTTAGTAGGATACACTATAGGTACACAGCAAAGAGTTGTTAACAGAAAAAGAACACTGCAGAGTAAAAAGCATGACACAAAAGAGGTGAAAACCAAGTCTTCAGACAATAAAAGCTCCCTTGAAGACGAGTAAGTAGTTTCTCATTATAATCCAGTTACAATCCATGGTTTTCCAGAAAAAAATAGGATATTAACCATGACATTGCTTTTGGCAGAATTTGCCTTTGATTAGATAAAAAATCTAGACTATAAATTCCAAAACAGGAAACTAATATCTTAGTGCTTTATTATAACCAGTTTCAGGTAAAGAAAAAGGGGTAAAACCTAGATAATGAAATTGATCTGAGCAATACAACCACACCCAGGAAATAAAAACTGTCTGGCAGCCCTGTAAACGTGTGAGATCAAGCTATTTGCTTTAAGCTGCATCCGTACAGAATCCTATGTACTCCACTTATTAACTTAAGGGGTATCTGTAGCAGCAGCAGGAATCCACACCTGCAAATAACTGCTGATGTGAAGAAGCCTGGCTTTTAAAATCAGCGAGCTTCCATGTAAAGCAACCAACAGGTTAAAAATGAAGATAGGAAAATTTCTAATAGAGACTTGGACCAAAACAGTGTTTCTGTTAGGTGTTTCTGATTTAGATGTTTTTGTTGGTTTTGTTTGGACAATTATGTCAGAAGGCAAATTTATAAGATTTCTCTCATCTGCAAAGAAAACCTAATACAAGGAAGATGCACCTATGAAAAGATATGTGATTTAGCACATAGAATCACACGGTTAAACGAGGCTAGGTTGCCAACAGAGATCATGCTCTTTGCCTCCTTTTTCATCCTCACACAAAAATTTTCTCCAGGCATGTGACTCAGGATATTCTCCTCCATATATTTACTTATACAGACATCTAAGAGGTGAAGCATGAATCTCTACAGATCAATCTTCTTATTGCCCAAGAGCTGTTAGCCCTGATTAATGAGGATTTTGAAAAAAGAACCCAACTATATTCAACTATTACTACAGTGCTCGTTTTCCTACACAAAGAGCTACAGAATTTAATATTTCCACATAGGTTGTGCAGAGTGAATGAACAGGTTCTCCGGTAAGATATCAAGTCTATGTCAGTAAGAGCAAAAGTTTCATATTTGTAAAACATTTCCCTACAAAAGCAGCTCTGGGGAAAAACAAAAATACTGCAGTTTTTCCTACAGAGGTAATAAAGTGCTACTAAAGGAGATTTGTCAGCTTAGGTGACTGGTGAGAACCAGTCATGAAGACACATTTCACAACCAGTAAATCTTTACTATCCTCCCAGAGACATGCTCTGTGCTTGCTACCAGCCTTCAGTAAGTCTTCACCGCATAGAAAAAAACAAAGATGCAATGTAAATGCACAGAAGCCAGAGCCTGAAGGTTAATTCAGTGATTTCTGTGCTGTATTTGAGACACCTGGGATGCTAGACAGCGAGAGAGAGCCCATCAGCCAGAACATGCTACCTTATCACTATAGGCTGGAGAGGCTTATACGGCTTCCTAGAAACCATTTTTGACTTCTCAGAAGCTTTAAATACTTCACTATAAGCAGTCTTAAAACAAAGTACATTTAAATATGAGTGAAGCTACCCACAGGACATCCTGGAGACAAGAATCAAGCAAGCATCTGCATCATCAAATTCGTCATATGTGAAGGCTTAAAACAGCAAGCTGGAATTAACCTGAGACTGGCATAAAGCTGCAGGTTCTAGGAGAGCCCATGAGGGAAATGAAAACCATTCTGGTCAGAGAGTAACTAGAGGGAGGAGATAGGAAAAGGCATATCCACATAATATAAAGGACAAGACTATTTCCCCACGGCTGTGAAATCCATCTTTAGCACTTAAATAAATGGCCTTGTTTCCAGCAGTAACTTGCAGCAGTTCCTAAAAATCCCAATGTTGAACTGCATACAATTCTGAGTCAAAAAAGGCAGGCACTTATTTCACTGCCTAATTTTAGGCATTCAGTTTCTAGAACTTATTTCAGGATTCAGAAGAAACCTGAAACTTGAAACAACATCTCTGCAGACCTGAACTGCTGATGACACAGAGGAAACATACATTCCTTCCAGAGATTTTTTTTTTCCTTTCCTCCATCAACAGTAATTCACAATACAAAATAAGAAACTTGGAGATAAATGGCAACTTCTCAGCTGTGACAAATTCAGTACTCTGGTACTCCAAATATAAATGTCCTAGGTTTTATTTAAGAAACCAAACTAAAACTGAAATCTGCATCAGCTATTCCCTGGAGTACAGACATTGTACAAATGCAAGGGTGTGGTTCATCTCTGAAATTAGCATCTGAAAAGCCATTTTTATAAGCATAGCAGCAGCCCAGATAGCACAACTAACAACTCACTTAGCTATTAGCTCTGTTTGAAAACAGATGGATGATTACTAATCATGCACAATCAAAACAAAGATGGCATGCTAAAGGCCAGTATCTGGAATATATGTTTTTCACAGCTTAAGGATTGCAAGATGAAATGCTCCTGGACTAAACAATTTTTTTTCCTGTACAACTTTTCTTTTGTCATATAATTGCATAACCCAAAGGGACTGTGTTGACAAAATTATATTGATAAAATGAAGAGCTAAACTAAAAGAACCCCCCCCTTATTCTGCTCTGGCAAACTGTAACAGTTCTGATCCACAGGCATGCCTTTCACCCTGACTCTACAAACCGTGAAACTAGCTTATGAAATTAACCTAATGTACAAAGAAAATCCCCAAAAACCTAGCCAAATTTCTGACAACGGAAAGCCACTTAAGGAGAGTGTGCCAAACTATTGTACAGAAACAAACTTCTTACCTTGGGTAAGCATTTCCAAAAAACTGTTTTAACAGCTGAACTCGTGCCAGATAGCCCAATAGTGGGTATACAGTCATCATTTGGAACAGCAGAAATATTCTTGCAACAAATGACATGATGTCATCACTGGGAAAGTTATCTAGAAAATTCTAAACATATAAGTAATGTTACACATCAATGGTGGCTTGTTTACATATATCTGCTGGCTTTTAATATCCATGTGCCAGAAAGAATGGCACAAAATCCAAACAATTACAATTGCTAAATGAATTCCATAACATGAAAAACCCTCTCCCTCTTTTACAACGGCCACCAAATAACAATCAATTTTTGAATATTACTAAGCTGATGTCAGTGTTAATGTTAGTATTGCGTAACAAATTGCTTTCTGATCTTCTGAACATCCTCAAACAATCCAGGCCGTGAAAAGGCCACCTGACCTTTTAGGCAGATGGATTCATATGCTCCTTTTATCTGTCATATCATACCTACTTATTAAAAACAGTTACTTTGTGAGTAAAACTCCATTACATACAAATGAGGAAGGGATCATACACTACTAGTGGGAACATCTGAAAAAGCATTATAACATTTAAACATCATAGAAATACACAAACAGCTTCATAAGTACCTGAGATAGCTGCAGAAAATAAATGGGAAGAAAATCACTCATTATCTGTTATTTAAGTGAGGATTTCATCCTGTGAAATTATTTCAGGTGGTTAAAAAAATCATTTCATGGTTTAACAGTGGTACCAGTTAAATGCTGCCTTATTGCTAAATATTGTGCCAGAGCTATAGAACACCTAGCATAAAATAGATCCCCCACTCATAATTGCTATCTCTGAAGCAATTTAGGGTGTGGAAATCAGCTTTGCCTAGAAGCAGATATGAGTTTTTGGCCTTCAAAGGGTATTTCATGTGGTGCTATTATCTGAATAACTCTGCTGGCAAGGCTCACCAGAGTGTCAGACTCCAGAGTGTCAGACTTCAAAAGTAATTGCAGCGAGGACTCCTATCTAAACAAGCTTGCTTTCACATTCTATTTCTTCTGGAATCCCAATCAGTCACTGCACACACTTCTCAGGATTAAAGAAGCTAAAGAAATGAAGAGCTCAATTGTTCACTTGTTCATTTTGGTCCTTCATCACTTTCACAGAGTATAAATGTCTGTTTTTCATTGAAATATTGGGAACCATTTATGAATATAAATAACACAAGCATTACTTTTCGGTTCATGGTAGTGCCCACGAGGTGTTCCACCAACTGACCACAGTCAAGTGCAGATGCTTCTGCCAGGATAAATCATGAAGCAAGCAGCAGTAGCTGGGGCTTTTTTATTGTGTATTTATTAAAAGGTTAAGGACAAATATCTTTATAGTTGTATATATCAAATATAAATATATTTATCTTGGCATGTATTAGGAAGGGCATTGCCAGCAGGTCGAGGTAGGTGATCCTGCCCCTCTACTCAGCCCTGGTGAGGCACATCTGGTGTGCTGTGTCCAGTTCTGGGCTCCTCACGACAACAGACATGCAGCTCCTGGAGCAGGTCCAGCTCAGTGCTACAAAGATGACCAAGGAACGGGAGCATCTCTCTTACAAGGAAAGGCTGGGGGAGCTGGGCCTATTCCTGTTGCACCTCATCAGTGTATACAGGTGAAAGGAGGGTGCCACGGGTGATCTGGCTCTTCTTGCTGGTGCCAAGCAATAGGACAAGAGACAATGGGCAGAAACTGATGCACAGAGAGTTCCAGTTAAACATGACAAAGAACTTCTTCACAGTGTGAGTGACTGTGCACCGTGAACAGACTGTCCACAGAAGTTCTGGAGTCTCCCTCACCGAAGCTATTCCAGAACCATCTGGATGCAATCCTGTGCCATATGCTCCAGGACGGCCTTGCTTGAGCACGGAGGTTGGATCAGATGTCCCACTTTGGTCCCTCCAAAAAACCCATTTTGTGATTCCATGAAATACATACTGCAGTAAAATATCTCACCTGTTCAATACATTCTTTGGATAATGGTGGAGAAGGAAAAGATGCAAAAATTATCACTCCAACATACAGGTATGTTAGTCCAACCAGGAAGTATGCAATAGAGAGGTCTCTCACCTGAGGAAAAACAAGATTCATTTTGGCCAGCACTTACACACAAAACCAGATGAAATAAAAACCTCATAAGAAGATTTCTATTTCATGTTTTACTGTTACTTTTATATGCATTACTTTCTTATAATTACTACTATCACTTGTACATTTTTATTTTTACTTCCTACTGCTTGGATGGAGAACTGGTTCTGATCAGATCAGAAAACTGCAAGAAAATACCCCAAAGTGGTGCTAGACAAGTATTGTTTATCTCTCAACATACAAAAAAGGCACCATGAATGAGACATGCATGTTGTTCCTGATGCATAAGTATACACTAGTTATTAAAACATACATGGAATCCCTTCTACTTTCTTACATTCACCTATTCCTACTAAGACCCTTGGAACACAGACTCTCCTGTCTAAGACAGAAAGCCCAGAAAGCCCTATGTTATATTTCTTGTCATGAATAAAATCTTGCAATTGAAGACATCAGTCTACCCAACTGCAGAAGTAATACAAAGGAATTTAATCAAAGGTTTTAAGGAAGGAGTGTCAAAGCTAGGGTCCTAAATCCACACTTAACTACACTACATACACTTAAGTAGGGATTTAAACCTAAATTTCAATGTTCAGTTCTGAAAACTTTGGCTATCTTTTTAAGATATATAATATATACAAATATTTTCTACTACACAAAAATAAACACACATTTATTACAGGAAAATAACTGGCAAAACTAATTAAGTACTTTATGAAACTAGAGAATCCACATAGTCATCAGACTGATCTCAAAGCAATGTACTTGTTCTCCTACATAAATTCCTTCCTTTGGAAATAAAGAGGGAGACCATTTGTTTCTAGTTATTAGCTAACTAAATTCTGTATAAGCTTATGTTACAGTACAAAACACTCATCACCTTACAGAAAACCATTTGTTCAGCTGCTGCTAATCATCAGCTTCTTAACGGATTACTAGTAACGTTTCAATACATGGCCCTATTTTCCCAAGACTGAGAAGCAAGTCGTACTAGCTCAGGCACAGTACCAAATTATTAGGATTATACTGCTTTCCAGACCAGGGTGATAATTATCACCTCCAGCCAGCTCACTGAGCATGAGCAAAGCTTCCTTACATCTGTGCATGGAAACGTTTCCCTAAGTGCTTCTTCACCCTGTCTCATTGACAGAATAAGCATATCCTACAACACTCTAGGCTCTGCCAAGGGCAAGGCAATCCTTGAGGAAAGTATAAAATACTAGATTATGAGTTGTGAGAGAAATTCAGATGGAAGCCAGTTTTTTGTGAAAGACGTGGAATCTCCTACTCATTTTGCCAGTGTTTTTGGGGTAGAAGACTGCTGTCTGATGAGGAGTATTATTTGCCTCTTAGAGGCTGATGGGAAAAAAGCATCAGTATGATTTCAACATATTCCAGGGTGGCTTTTAACCTCCCAGCAGCTGCACATTTCCACCTACAACCTCTTCCTCCTGCTGACCACTTAAATGCACAAGGGAGATGATTTCCTACATTCCACTCTCCTCATACTGGCCACTGAGTAAGGACTATCAACTTTCATCAGAAGCTGAGCAGTCGCCTTTTCTTTAAACTATATGCAGAATTTCTCCTCATGACATGAGAAGTTGTACAGGTTTTTATATAACATCTGCATCTTCAAAAGCACTAGTTCCCACCCACTGTAAGAACTTATTTTAAGAATATTAAATATGAGCATCCAAATTTCTTGCAGGTATTTATCAATAACTTCCATTAATTTCAGGACTCAGACACACAGTAAGGTGGTTTTGCAAAGAGACACAGACTCTCATCTCTTGAGGACAGGATTTGGACAATTTTTCAAAACACATCCAAAACCTTCTTAACGCACATAATCTACCAAAACCTGCTTTAAATCTGGTATTTTAGGTGTAGTCTGACACATAAAAACAGTACACTAACTCACAGTTGTTATTTGTACTCTGCCTACACGTAAGTTCTAGAACCAACTGTAAAACTATTTTTGCTGTGACGAGTGCATACAGTTGTGAGGGCAAGAAATCTGAAATAAAATTCTTAGTGCTTCCTTTGGATATGAAAAATGGTAAATAGGTGGCGTGCTGTTACCTCCAACAGGTACTTGCACCAGTACTAACCAGCTCATGTTTCCAGAGTTTGTAAGGGTGTATGCTTTAACCTATGCTGAAACTAAGTGCTGTGATAATTTTGATAATTTATTTTCATAGCATGTAATACAACAGACTGTTTTCTCCAGGTGTTGTCACCATACAGAGTACCCAGATTTTGATTTGAATAAGCTACTAAAAAAGACAACTTGAGAACATGGATTTATTTTTTTCTCAAACATGCATCAGCTCCCTTCGAAATACATGCTTCTGTGTATGTTACCTTTGTACAACAAGATGTGCTTACGTAATAGGAACATCTTTTGATTAATGTTCATTATTCCTCAAGACACCTGGGTTCACTCCCTAAAGACCTTGACAGTAGTGTTTAGACAGCATAATTCAAGATAAAATCAAAGGACACATGGGAGAAGAGATAAAAGGATTATTTTAATTAAGAGCAATAGCTACACTTTTTTTGTTTTTAAATATGATACTTGAGGCATTTACATTCAAAGTGGACATTGCTGTGGTGAAAGCTGCCTAAGCATAAAAATATAGCAATTCTTACAGCCACAGTTTAAGAGTCAAACTTGTAGAAAAAAAAATGTTGGAAGCAGGAAGTATTTGTAGAATCACGGTTGAAATCTCAATGTAAGTATCTAAGGTCTGTAAGGATCACAGCCAGACACCTGCCAAACCCTTCTCAAATACACCTGAAGTAACAGGCAGATTTTCAGACAGAACTTGGAGAGTACATGTCAGCTGCAGTTACTGCTGACAGGGAGCTCTCCTGGTCAGATCCACAGAACAAAGTGTTAGAAGTGCTGCTGGAAGAAGAGAAAATTGGGTGATCAAGGCTGGCAGCAGCAGCAGAACAAAGGAAGAAATCAGCCTCCTAACAAAAGGATGAGTCGTGGAGCTAACAAAGACAACCCTGAAAGTTCAAGACACTGTACCACATCCACAGAGCAGTCGGAATTCAGGTGCCGGCCACAAAAAAAAAAAAACTGACATGGCACAGAGAAGGTTCTGTGGATCTATGGACATTTCTTACATGACGCTGCTACAGGCTACTTCCAGGCCTTGATTTGCCTGCTGAATGCCATGGAGAAAACAATTCACTTCCTTCCTCAGTACCAGTGAAAGCTAGTTTATGGAGCTGCTTCTTGGATGGAGAAGCCTGTATCAGTGCTTAGTAATGATTACTACATTTGAAATACCTTTCAATCATCCCATTTCAGATTAGTGTCTCCTCAGGAGAGACGCTGTCTCTGCAATATCTCAACAGGACTTTGATCTATATCATAAAAATAGACTTCACCTGCTCATGCATCAAGGGCAAGTAGTAACATTTAACTGGGTGACAAAAATAAGTACTTCACCAGGATAGATGATACTGTGCATAATTTTGGCAGGAAATAGAAACCAATGGTATGGCACTGTCGATGCAACAACCATCAGTAGAAACTCACACTGTTTACAGGGGATAAAGCATTTCAATACTGCAAAATAAATACCATTTACAGCTCCATGCCTTCTGCAGTTAATACCTAGACAAAAAACATCTCCCCAGTCACAGCCTTTCTCCCAGGTATATCCACAAATAACTGTTAGGAGACAGAACCAGCGTATTTATGACTGTAGATCATGGTGGGCTTGTGTAGCATCCATAGTGTGGCTCAGGGAAACTGATCACAAACACGAATCAGGAAAAAAATAACCAACTAAAACCCACACCCAAACTCCTTTTTGTGGGTGTGTTACATTTCCTATGCAATTTGTTTTTGAACCATTTGACTGATACTGTACAAAAACTTATGTTAATAAATACAAGGAGGCAGCAGCAGTGGGAGATGGGACCAGGAAGCTCAATTCTGAACTAAAAACCTGCTTACAGGGCTTCTCCCGGCTGTGCTGCTGACATGTGGCTTACTCTGGTGCACTGCTCTTCTCTTCTCACACCCACACCACTGTACAGGAATAGCGGCCAGAGCAATCCTCCCCCATGTGTATTTTAGCTTTGGGCTGTGATGCACGCCTGTGACCAGAATGGAAGCTGCTATTGTTTTGAATTTCTGACTCGGTAAGAGGAATGTTATTGTTTGTCTTACTCTTTTCCACCTCCCCAGAGAGCTGTTCTGTGACCTCTAGTTTCAGTAAGTTTTGCTCAAGACTAAAACAGTGCTTTTCCAGCTTGCCAAGTTCTGTGCCTTTTGACAGAACACTGAGGGAAGCGCCATGTTAACAGGTTCGTCAACGAAACAGTGAAGTTTTTATCCATGGAATTATGTCAGTATTACCCCACCAAATATTGAGAGAAGAAAGCATCCTGTAAATATATGGGAAAACTCCCCCATGACCTATGACAGAGGGCAAGACCCCTATGCATATGGAAATCTCCCACTTAGCCCAGCAGCTTAGTGACATAATCACAAAACAGCTCTTCAAGAGCATAGGTGCTTCATTAACACTTGCAAAGCACTTTTGAGATGTAGGTGAAAGGCTCCTGTACAGCTAAAAAGAGGAAAAGAAACCTCCAGCCAAATAAAACTACTACAAGAATTACACAGAGATTTGTTTTGCCATTAAAAATCTTTCCTGCCATGCTTCAAAGCTGTCCTTTCTAAGCAATCTGAACATTTTTTCTGGAATGCAGAGTTTTGTTAAGGGCTTCAGATCTAGCTACGGCTGACTTGGAAATTCAAGTTAAGCTCCAGGGAGGGTTTTAGAAAAGCTGATTCAAATGCAGGCAGCAGTTTCTTCCTCCTTCACACAGGAAAAACAAGCTGGAGAACACTCCAGGTGCTGCTCTTTGCATCTGATTGCTTGCTCTGATGTAAACAGAGCGGGAAAACACACAGAAAAACCTTGAAGATGGAATGAGGGTATTAGGCCTCCTGTGCATATAGAGCTGATTGCTGGAGATCTAGCCTTTAGAATTTGAAAGCCACAGTTAAAGAGAAGTCTTGCCCTTCTCCACATCATAAATTTTTCTTAAAGAAATGGAGAAAAAGCTTATTTAACCTCCAGCTGTTAAAACTAATTTCTGAGATGGCCTAAGCCCCCAGAAGCCTTCCTGGAGAAGAATTCATGACTCCTCTGCAGATACATCATTAACAAGCTGGTCTTGATTCACAGGTAAAAGGAAGTAACTGTGCAGACTTCTAAAGCTTAAGAGGTCATCTCACTGCATCAGTACATAATCTGCACTTCACTGTCAAATAATCAAATCTGTTATATTTTATCTGATGTGCTGCATAGGCATCTGGCTCTTCGTGGCACTGATTCAGCAGGGGGAACAAGATGACATCCAGAGGTTCCTTACAACCTCAAGCATTCTGTGATTCTATGATTTCATTACAGTTTTTCATACAGCTAGTATTTAAAAATCTTTTTATGTTATTGCAGGTACCTTTACAGCTAACATTTAAATGAAGCTGGACAAGAATCCTTGGAAGTAGGGAGGAAAAAATAAAATAATTAAGAGTAAAAGTTACTCTCAGACTCTGTGTACTGTGTTTACTCCATTTGGTATTTTATAATGGGAAGATATTAACAAAGAATGCAGTTCCATCTGGAGGAGAAGAGCTTAACTTTTTCAAGGGCAAAGCACCAGTCCAAAGACTATATACCAAAAAGCCTCCTGATCCAGGCTTCAACTTGAAGGATTTCCTAAATTGTGCCAAGTTTCTCTATGGACTTGGACTAGGACTGTGAGACAAAACTACTGAAGCAACTCTGAGAACAGGTATTTCCTAGACCACAAAACTACTGTTCAGGATTCTGCTAAAATCAATCACATACCAAACATTTCCCACCATTTTTCATTCTTAAATTGGTCAGTTTTCATTTGAGTCCTACGACATAGTCAACTCATCTGCCTCTTGTGTGCAATTTGGCTGTTCAATACCAGCTTGTAAGTTTGGAGCATTCCTTGGGGCTTTTATGTAAATGAATTTGTAATTTATCTGTTACTCCCTCATAGCAAGGAAAAGAAGGTGTAATTTTTTTCTTATCAAATCACAGGAAAAAATTACTGTTGTCTGGCAATCTACAATAAATAAGCACCGTCTTGTGAAGTTACTTACATTGTTTTCTTGATTCCTGTTATTCTGAAGAAGTGTGATGACACAATTGTGGATGAAGAAGGCAAGTGTTAGAATCCCTGTGAGCTGAGGGAACAGAATTCTAAACTCTAAAGGAAGAAAAAAAAAGTGGTTTTAAATTATTTCTTTGAAACAAGCAATGACAAAATGCAGATGACATACAGTGCTTTGGAGGATACTGGCAAACTCATGAACCCCCACCTTGAAATGGAACAATCTAGCCCATATATGACCATAGCCAACGGAGATATTTAATCAGGAACTACAAGATGCATGAAGACAGCAGTTACTATAGAATACACTTTCCAGCAAAGCTTCTCTGATAGACTCCAACCATCAGTGATTACTAGGTTAATTTAAGATTGGTACATAAAAGGTTTTCTGCTCCTGAACAGTTTAACTGGAAATCATTTGTGAAATTGGAATTGACATCAGTGAGGCTGTATACATACAGGTTCCTGAAGAGGGAGATGGAAAGAAGGAATCATTTACCCTGTGAACAGGGTAAATTTGTTAATTATAGTTATACAGGGTAAATTTAGTTATTAAGAAGTCACTTATGATACCAGAAGAAAAATTACATCTGTAGATATTTAAGAGGTTCTGCTTACAAGCCAGAGCACAAAAAAAGACAGAACAATTTCTTATCATGCTTCACAGCATGTATGAAGAAAAATTTTCTTCTTGTCTCCATGATAATAGCATTCTTCTGCTTCTTTTAATACTCAAAAGATGTTCACAAGATGGTGGTTCTTGAAGTGCTGCAAATAGTCTAAGAATTCACCAAGGTGTAACATCATTAAAGCACCATCTTAGTTGGTATTACCTAAGAAAGTATTTGCTCTTTAGAGTGCTAACGGCAATTAGAGAACCATAAGATAGCTCAGCTTCTGAAAAGCATCCAGAAGTATAGCACAACACCCTTCAGAAGTTCACAAACCCTTACAGAACAAACCGCAGAGAGCTCCATGCAAACATATTTAAAACAGACTTCTTAAAGTGCTATGAAGTTAGGAAGCTAAACATACTCCAGGCAACTAATGTAGGGCTTATCCAAATGGAAAGAATAAGCTTTCCCTAGAGCCGGTTTCACTGTATCTTCAATACGTAATTAGCATGATGTGCTACTGACAGAATTGAGAGTGCAAGTGATTTCTGGGCTCGACTTCTAGGCTCGTTTTCCATCCACCACTTCAATCTCAATAATAAAGCAAACTGACAGTTTCAGAATCTCTTGGAAGCTGTATTTGTATACATGAGCTACCTGCTTTTTCTATCTCCTAGCAGTACGAGGCATTTTTGCCAAATTAATCAAACTACTGGGTGCTCTACTTCTCAATGGCCTGCAGCACGTGCGTCACTACAGCTCATTTTTCTAGTTTGTTTCTAAGAACAGACAAAGTGATATTATTCTAATGTACAGGACACAGCTCCCTGGAGCTAACTGGTCATAAAATTTTGCTTATTGTAAGAATAGGGAAAAAGCAACTAGGACCTATCTCTCATTTTCTTATTCCAGGTTTCTTAAAAAAGAAACTTGGTCTCTTTAGGCTAGCTATTCAAGCAACACCAAGCGCCACTTGTTTATGACTGTGACATCTCACAGAGAAATTTTAACAGTAATTTGGAAAGAACAAATAGCCATCAAACAACCTTCAAGAAAATAAAAACATACTGAGGGGTACTGATGGTATAAAACTGTCTAATGGGTGTTTGAAAAAGAAGAGCTACTAAGATTATGGCCTAAAACTTGAGATAGACTGGGAAGTACAGGAAAACTGTACTTGCATATTATGATGAACGAGCTATTTCATTTAAGCAAAACAGTGTGTGGGGAACTTAAAGCACCCTTAACAGTCAGTCTGCCTACAGTTTGCCATTTCTAATTGCTACTGAAACAGGCATGATCTGAATCTGGTGCAAGTAGAACTTAATATAACACAGGTGAAAAAGGACTATGGTAAGCTCTCTGTCACAAGATATATATTGAAGGTTCCTCTGATAGGCACTCCTTTTCTTCCCTACCATTGATACTGCCTGTTAACTAAGGAACATCACTGGGAAAGGGATTCCTTGCCACTTGGTCCAGAGGGATCTTTCCTCTACTTGCAGTATCAGACAGCATTTCCTCTATTTATGTCTCAGAGGTGTTAAAAGGTAAATGAGAAAAAAAAAAATCTTAAACTCACCAAATATATACTTCACCACTGCATTTCAACTATCTTACCTGGCACAAAAAATTCATTCTCTGTAAACCAGTTGAATTCTAAGTGTATTCCCAGATGAGCAGCCTTTACTGTAACCAGAAAAACTAAGTAGACAACTGAAACTGTACCTGGAAAAAACAAAAGCCAAACAAATACATGATATAGTAGAAAGCATTTATGCAGGGTTTAATTTCTCCTCCATCCATCTAGTTATTAGTATTCAAACAGTTATGGTAGTCATTCCTAACAGAAGACTAGGTCTAAACTTCTTCTTTACTTCTCTTATAGGTCAGAGAGAAAAAATAATGCATATGCACACACTGTAAATTTCCAGCAAGTTTAGTACCTTCCAGGTGCTGGTGACAGCAGAGGAAGTACCCTGTAATCCCTGTTGCTGGGCAGGTAGGTCTTTAGGCAAACAGACCAGTCCCAGCTCCCACTGCCAGGATTTCAGTCTAGGTGGAGATTGATCATAGCACTCCAGCTATTACAATGTTAATCTAGTAACTGACTTTTTGAATCAAACAGCTCAATGGAAAGTGAAATTACTGCACTTGTGAACTTTACACTGGGAGCTAGAAGTTGATAATGACTCTTCAATACTACTGATTAAAACACTGTGTTAATTGTAACTTTGGATAATCTTTATTGTAATACTGGATTTGCATTCCATCTCATTGGTTAAGAGGCATCCAGGAGGCACCTGCACAGCTTAAGGACTACAAATGACATCACAGATGGGCATAATGCCTTGCTGTGCATACCTGGAATGGTGGGTATAATTGCTGTGGACTGGAGAGTATATGGTCTTGTGTTAGGCCATTTGAAAGAGACAAGAGCAGAATAGTAACTACCTAAAAATTGAAGGAAACTGAACAACAATAATTAAGGCTACCGCAATGAACCTCATGGCCAATAATGCTGCTAGTGAGCAGAGAACTGGCTGTAAGTAAGTGAAGACAAAACCCCATCATTTTAACCCAGCCAGGTTAAAAAATAAACAGAAGGAAATATCATTTGATTGCTAATATCTTGAGCACAGTCAAGAAATTAGGAAAATAAAAGGTCCTGTATGTGAAGATCAGCTAAAATACTCTGTAGTTTCCTAATGACTTCTGTTTCCACAGGTATCAAAATAAGTAAAACTCTACTGAGATAAATTTCATCGTCTCAAAATTGCTTTCCATTTTTTCTTGTCCCATAAACTTCAAGGTTTACAAAAATTAAGTCAATTTTGAACCGCTTCTGAATTATATACTAATCTACTGAAGCAATGAATAATTAATATTCTGGCTTTTAAATTCTTTTTCTATATAAATCCCACACCTTTTGAACAGAAGCAGTATCAAGTACCCAAATTCCCGTGTGGTATTTTCACTTAGTGGAGCAGATCCAAGCTCTGATGAAGTGCCACTATGGAACAGATGAACAAACTAGACCTTCAAATCCCTGTCCTCTACCTCTTTTCAACCTTTGATCCACATCTAGTTTTCTCTTCCTCTTCATTGTGGGCTTCAGGGCTACCGCTCAGCCATCTTCTACTCCCTAACTGTGACCAGCTCCACCCATCATGCATACGCTTTACTCACTTTACCAGCCCCACCCACCTTGGCCTTCCACCTCAAGACATTTAAGCAGCAAGTCACAATTGTTTCCTCTGCAGCACAGAAGAATCCACAATATTGGAAGTTGGGACAAAGACGTTGTGATTAATTAATCACCTGACTGGCAGAAAATTACTTCAGATCAGAAGCAACTGCTGGTTTGAAATGTTTACCAGAGGAGGAACAGTATGCCTGACTACACCAAAGCAACATGTATCAAATGCTGCTCAGTAGTATGTACAGAACCATTTGGGAAAATCTGTTGTAGATGTAATGGAATTTGTTTCACAGTATTATCAAGCAAGAAAAAGGAAGAAAAATGAACTCCCTAGTACCTGCAAGATTCAAGCAAAGCAGCAGACAAAGCCCTTGGGGTTAATAAACCAACGAACAACCCACTCTGAGGCACAACATGGGCTGCCACCAAAATATTGGAACAGTGGCTGGAAAGCTGCGTAACAGAAAAGGATCTGGAGGTGCTGATGGACAGAAGCTGAACATGGGCTGACAATGTGCTGACAGGTGGCCAAGAAGGCCAATGGCATCCTGGCCTGGATCAGCAATGGTGTGGCCAGCAGGGCCAGAGCAGGGATTGTCCCCTGTGCTGGGCACTGGTGAGGCCACAGCTCCAGTGCTGTGTCCAGTGCTGGGCCCTCACTGCAGGAAAGACACTGAGGAGCTGGAGAGAGTGCAGAGAAGGGCAGTGGGGCTGGGGCAGGGTCTGGAGCACAAGTCCTGTGAGGAGCAGCTGAGGGAGCTGGGGGTGTTTATCCTGGAGAAAAGGAGGCTCAGGGGAGACATTATCACTCTCCACAACTGCCTGAAAGGAGGCTGTGGACAGGTGAGGCTTGGTCTCTTCTCCCAGGCAACCAGTGACAGGGTGAGAGGACATGGCCTCAAGCTGTGCTAGGGAATGTTCAGATTTGGAAAATGTTCGTCTCAGTTGTCAAGCTTTGGAATAGGCTGTCCAGAGAAATTGTTGACCCACCACCCCCATATGTATTAAACAATGTGCAGATATAGCACTTATGGACACGGTTTAGTGGTGGACTTGACAGTGCTGGGTGAACAGTTGCACTCAATAACCTTACTTAGACTTTTCAACCTAAAAGATTTTTTGATTCTACTCACTGGAGTAGTTTTCACTGTCTTCTATACACTTCAGCCAATACTTTAATAGTATTTGTTACCTACCTAGGACATTAAACTTCGCAAAGAATGACGGAGACTTCAGATTTAGCAGGGGTAGAAGAACTGCAATCAGGTAAAATGGTACTGTTTTTGATTTGTCCCACCATTCCTCAAAGAGTTCAAAACCTGTTCTGTTGCCAGAAGAGAACATCACACTCCTGTTCTGTGGTGGGTGATCACCAGCAGCACTTGGACAAATGACTGGAAGAAAGGAAAAGAAAAATATCCTCAGATGAAAAGGGTTTTACTTGCACAGAATATTCAGAGCCAAGAGCCCGCAACTACTGGTTTGTTTTTTCTACTGAGGACTGCTCAAGTGCAGTGTTCAGTATCTCAGTTCCTAACTTCTCTTGTTTTTTTATTCAGGAATTCATTGTTAAGATTCCACTGCTAGGCATCTTGCACTCTAATCTGACAGTGGTATAGTTCTCCCAGCGGAGCACAACAAAGACAATAATTTATCTGAAGCCCAAGTTGTGACACAGGATCGCCCTTCTAAGTCACATACCTATAATGAAGCCTGTTCAGTGCCCATGTGCACCTGCTAGAATCAAGTCACAGCAATGCTCCCCTGCATCTGGCTGCGTATTTAGCGTCCTAATCTGTCCCTGCATACTTCAGTAAGATCATATCAACCAAAATCCAAATGCACTGAAAAGCCTGAATTACTGTAAATTGCTCTAAAAACAAACTAAGGATTACAAGAAAGCTACTGTAACAACTGGCAGGTTGAAAACCCATACACTGAACAAAAACAGTCTTATCTTTGTGCCATGACAGGGGCCAAGTACGTCACTGCCAGACAACACAACACAACAAATTTAAGATGTGTTCCAGTAAAAGTGCTAAGAGGGAATGTCATACTCCTCTTACATGGAGGCTGATCCATGGCAACACCTGAAAAAGTGATTGGAAAAAAATCAACCAAAAAGACCTCTGAGGAACACATGCCTATGAAGCTCTGTGTTGAAATACAAAACTTACTGTTCTCATATTTAAAATCTTGGCATCCCACACTAGTCGATAGCTACTATCCTACACTGTCTCTATTCCTGTTCTTGCCAAAAAGGCAAAGGCATAAAAAGCACTCTGAAAGGCTTTTTTTTTTACTGATCTCCTGAATGTCCTGTCAAGAGTCACTTGAACATCTGACAGCCCTTAATTTTGTGTAGCAGCTGCTTTAAATCTTCTAGCTGGTGGAGGATAGTGTGGAATATTGTCTACTTCGCCTCCAAGTTAAACCCACTGCTGCATAAGCATGGGAGAGAACAGCAGAAGCAAGGGAGCGCACAAATTGGTGCCTAGCTGGTAAGGACTGTTACAGGAGCAGGATTCAACACCAGCTCAAACACAAATAAACTGGTTTTCAGAATTGTTTCTCAACTCCTTTGCCTGACTCCAACATCTGTTCTCCAGAAACACAGCTGCAGCTAGTGTTACACACAGCTGCCCAGCCGGCAGTGATATGTTTCCTCATTCCTCATGCACTCAGGATAGAGAAAGCTTTCTGCTTCCTAAGAACGCAGTACAGATTCAGTCACTGTGACAGAGGAAGAAAAGATTCAGGGGTTGACAATGCCTGCCTTGCTTTGCTCCTGCCTTCATTCTACATTATTCTGCCTACACTTAAGAACTTGGAACTGTTCATACTTGACTGCAGTTTCTTCCCTTAGCTGTGCAAATGTCACACTCTCCAAAAAGCACAAGCAGAGGTTCAAGTCGCTTGACACTTGATTCTTTTTTGCACCCAGCATCAAAAAAACTGTTCTTACGTAAGTTTTTAAAAAAATAATCTTGCTGCACAACTTGTGAGTAGTAAAGTTGCCCCAGCCAAGATTTTAACCAGTAAACAGAACTAAGGCGCCTCAAATTTAGGGTGTGAAAGTTAAAATTCCTTAAGGCAATTCCTCATTGTGCAACTACTGTTAAAAAGTTAACAGTAAAGCTTTTAAGGAGGATGCATCTGGGCATACAGAAACTTGCAACTGGCTCTTTAATACTTATTCTCACCTCCACTTTTTAATCTTATTTTTTACTTCCCCAGTTATTCAGATCTCCAAGTGTGTGGTTATTTGTGGAAGTACAAATCCCAGACAGAAATTTACAGTTTCTTAAGAAAGAAACAGCTAGAACTTATGACATATACTTTATAACTGGCATGTGGTTAGGCATTGAAACACGATGATTTGCCTTTAAACCCCCACCCAAAACTGGTAACACAATACTGCAAGTGCTTCTTACCTTTGTTACTTCCATTGGTGCCAGGAACAATATCTGTTACATTAATGTCATGAACAAAGTCTGCAAAGAAGAAAATCTCAGAATCAATGTCCCATACCTGTTATTAGGCTTTCATCTGTTGACTTGACTGAAATTAAGTAAAAAAACATTTTGGAAAATCCTATCAGAGCAACAACACAGCAGCTTTCACTCCCCCCAAGACCCAACTGAAAGTTTTCCTAATTATTGTAGAAGTGTTTTAAAGTAGCTCTACACTATATTACTTTCTTCTCAGAAGCCCTGTTCATTTATAAAGTTCCAAAGACTCCCCACTCCCAGGATTCCTGTTCCACAAGCACACCTCCACTTCTCTCAGCTACTCAGTAGTGCTGAACAGTAGGCCAGTGAGGAGATGCATCTTAAATCCAGCCTCTTTTGGGACAGAAAAAAAGGGCATACTAAAATAGCCCTAGTCCAGACAGTATTATGCAGAAAAAGCTTCCCTTAATAATTTACTAATATTTTCTTTTTCAGAAGAGGCTCTGTGGGATGCTTTTTCCATGCTTCTATGGGAAACCCTGGAGAAAGGTTAAAGCCTCACTGTTGTACAGGCATCTCTAGCAGTGTTTTACTTCCAGTACACTCCTGTGCTACTTTACTGATATACCACACCAGTTACTTTCAAGTTTCTGCAACCTCACCTTTATGAGGGTACAGGATAGCAATTTCATTATATTTATGTATTATGTGTATATATACACACAGAAAATGCTCCATCAGCTTGGAAACCGAATTAGTGTGTCACTTGTTGAATTCTGCTTCTGTTGCATGTGGGCATGTTATGCACAGAAAATCAAGTGGAGCAGCTGGCTTCAGATTTTTAAATGCAATTAACAGCAGCTTGTTTCTCATAAAGACAGCAAAGGGTCTTGTGGGAAGAAAACCGTTTCCTCTTTCTTTATTTTGATTTATGACACCCTGAATCACAAACAAGTTTCTCATACTTATTATTACTAGTTCAGAATATCAAAAAATCAGAAAATTTAACTAAAATCACAATTTTCTGTTCTTAATTTTAAAAAAAAGTACCTAGTGAGAAGCTATTAAAATTAATAGCTTTTACAGAATTAAAGCACTTTCAAATTTGCTACAGATGTCAGCTTGTGTTTCTTCTGTATTTAAAAAGCAGTTTAGCACTAGCAATTTCATTTGTGGATCTTGTTTTTCCCATAAAACAGAAAATGAACAAGACCATGCAACACCATGTTAAAGACATGATATTGCACTCAGCTACCAATTATTGCATTCTTTGTGTCCTACAGATTTCTAGACCATCTTCCTGCAGAAAATCAGTTTTTCCCCAACTAAACTGTATGTGCAGATGTTTTAAGAAGTCATCCGAATGTACTAGAATTAAACAAAATATAAGCTGCTGCTGAATACTTAAGAGTACTTACTGAATTCCTGCTTGGAATACTTAGAAACACGTGGCTGGAAGATGCCACTGTGTCAAGCCTACATCCTATTATGCATTTTATTACCTAGTAATTAAGCATGAAAGTTAAGACAAGAAGCTAGTGATCTTAGACTGTACAACTTAATTAAGAACTACAAACAAATATAGGTAAGGGATAAAGTAACATGCCAGTCATATGGAAAAGCAGGACTTTTTCCTAGAAAATAAGATCTTTTCACCATTTTACGTTTTATTTATGCCATTTATAATAACAATGCCATTTATCAGAACTGTCATTATTTAATTTAGAATAATTTAAGATTAAAGTGTTAAACTTCTAAAAAAAACCCCCAAAGTCTAAAACAAATGTCTGTAACAACATATAAATTAGGTCAGCTATAAAATTCATCAGTCATTAACCAATATGGTAAAGTACGTCCTATAGGGATAGTGGGAATTCTAATTAAACACTGTTTAACAGGCTTAACTGTCTGTGCTTTTATTTGCCTCAGAGATAACCCTCAAAACAGAATATTTTAAACCTTAGTCAACTTACTCAACAAGTCAACTTACTCAATGAGTCAGATTTTCAAAGCTCTCAATTCCATCACCAATTCCCACAATTCTACATTGATTACACACACAAATGCTTGTGTGCCTGTGCAAGCACCAGGGAATAAAAACCCAATGTGTTTTATTTTGTAGCAATGCCACACTAAGAATCACTTTTACTTCAATAGCGTTCATTGCTTCCTAATGGACACTTGCAAAAACTTCCTATATGGCAATATTTTAAGTGTGTTTGTTGAAATCTATAATGAAACTGTGTTTTTTTCATTATCCTGAATCATTTCAACAGTCTAGCCTGCTACAACGCTGTTCAAATAGATACACCCACACAAACAAAGGGGGAGTGAAAATACAGTGGAAACAAGCAGCCAGGTTTAGGTTGTTTAAACCATACAAGAAAACTACACTTTGAGAGAGAAATTGAAAAAGTGGCTTTGACAACACAGAGGACTTTGCCTGTAACACCACACACAGTTACTTATTCTCAACTGATTTTTCACACAATGTACCAGGAAAATCAAGATTACGTAAAATGGACAATCCTTTTTCAGTATAAGGCAGTCTTGATCTTTACAAAGGATTGCTGCAAAACTTAAACAAGAATGTATACTTACTGTATATAAATTTCCCTGTGTTGAACAGAAAGTTGGACATCAGTACCCAATAAACAACCATAGCTCCAACAAGTGATACCATAGAAAATAAGAGGCTTGACCATTGACCAAAGGATCCAAAATAATATTTGCAAACATCTGGGAATTCCCAGTTTGAGGTATCAGTTAAAGCTGAAAAAGACACAAAAACCAAAAATATATCTAAACAAAATATTACATTAGTCAGTAGAACTATTCAGGACAAAATGTGGTTTTTTTTAAGAATATTCTGACACACATTCACGGTGCTTTCAAGTACAAAGAAAATTGCAAGTAACTTTTAAAATATAGCACTCATTAAATGTTTGAATGAAGAAGCCTGAAGTAGACACTTTTATTGGGGCCATACTACTACTTTTGAATACTTTCAGAAGCACTGAAATAAGACATGGCAAAAATGCCACTATGCATTTGCAGCTAAAGCCTTTTGCAAAAGTTATGGCAAAGTAGGCCAGACTATGAACTATTCCTCAACCTATTCCTCTGCTCTGAAATTAGTTCAGTCACAAACTGACAAAGGTCTTAATGGCCTTTATTTGAGCAAGTGAGATGTTAGTTTATGCACAAAAGCACCAACCAAAGAAGAGCCCCAAGGTGAGTTTTGAACAATAAAAGTACATTCTAATTAGAGCCGCTGTCAGTGACTGCTTCAGCTGCTGATAGTACTTACAGGGCTTTCAACACAGAATACACACAAATATTAGGGTAATACAGGCACACAACACAAGGAGATACAGCTACAGTCCATGCTGCTCCACTGTGCAAATTAACAGATGTGTAGAGAACTGGACAGTGCTTATGGAGAAAAGATACCTCTAACTCCCAAAGTCCCCAAAAACTTGGTAAGTGAACATCTGAAACCCTGCTTGAGAACAGATTGTGTTTGGCTATAATACCCAGGTCCCAAGAAACTGAAGGAATTTCTAATAAGGAAAGACAGTCATTTAGCACACAGAGCTTAGACACAGACTACAAAAATAGAGATATTCATAGAACAGCCTTTATTTACAGGTCAGGTCTAACATATAGTAAAGACACATACAAACAGAATCTAATACATATTGGTATTTCACACTTAAAGTATTTGCATGATGCAGCTTTGGATTTCTTACGTATCATTTGCCGTGATTTCACAACTCTGTAACAGCAATAAAGAGTCAAAATGCCCATCAGTAAGATGAGAACAATTCCAGAAGTGAAGCCTGCCTGTTAAGAGGGAGAAATACAGTTCATTTGATTTATGAATATACTACAAAACGAAGAGTAAGCCAGGTTGCCAAAACCATTTTCATATGCATATATTCTTCATAGTTTACCTGTTTTATTCCCCATGGTATACTTAATATGGATGTACCCATCATGGTATTCCATATCATAAATCTAGGAAGAAAAAAATCCAGTGAATATTTTAAGAACCATTCTTATTTCACATGCTTGTCTCACTTAACAACAGTTATGTTATTAATACAGAACATTCAATAATCATGCATTTTATGGCTATTATATGGCAAGGTGTTTAACATACATTGTCACTAGACTGGAGTTTTTACCATAGCCATCTGTGCAACTGTCAACTTTAAAAGCAGTTCCCAATGGACTGTACACATAGATTTCATCAGGAGCTGGGAGGACATGATCAGGAGCAATCTAATAAGTGGATAAAAAACCAAGATGTATTAGTAACATCAATGTAACTAATTGTCCCAAACACAGCAAGTCAACTACTGTAAGTCACAGGAAATTACAATTAAAAAAAAAAAAAAAAAAAAAAAAAAAAAAAAGAAAGAGAAGGTTGTACTATGCTAATTCTCTTCCTGGGGGGAAAAGCCCAACAAACAGTTGACAGGATTTCTAGCTAGATAGCTCGAAAATGCATTTTTCTTCTGCAAAATGTGTGCAAATACACTATGAACAGACCTGCTAGCTCAACAGAGCAGTTACTGCAGCTGACCACTGCTTTAATCTTATACATGGGAGAAAACTGGGCAGCCTGGATTACTGTTATAAAATTAATGCTGTTTGTATATTTTCTTTTAATGGTGAAGGCATTGCACAAGAAGTAAATAACAACTTGTGATAAAACAAAACCTCTTGAAGGCACTCAGCTACCACATACTTGATTCAAAGCAAGCTGCAGAACAATTCTCCCCCAAACATTATTTCTGCTACTTATATAAATGAAGGCTGTGTAAGACCCAACATGTCAGAGGCCACCCAGTTAATGAGGCTGTCTTTGCCTTACCAATGCTCTGTCTGCAGGGGATGTGAGCCTGCTATAGTAATGAATCCGCTTATTCATTGCTGAAGCTTCATCAGTGACTCTTTGCATGTCATCATTCACACTGACTATGTTTGTGGGCTCCACATGAAATGGTCTAAAGGAGGGGGAAAAAAGGGAAGAAAGGAAAACCCTTAAAATCATGGAACACAAGATACAACTCAGAGAACAACTCAGCAATACTCAGGATGGTTTTGCCATTCATTGACACAAGGCAAATGAAAAAATATCCATCAATGCATTGAGGGAAGCTGCCATCTGTGAAAGAACTGTGAGTTTATATCCATATTAAAATGGCCTCCAGCTCAGATTCTGTGGGGCAACTTAACATCAGACCTAATATCCAGCTGTTAAGTTTTCAACAACGAATCACACACAGAAATACATGTTAATGAGCTTGGGCAAGCTTATTAGTGCTTAAACTGGTGTTGCCAGAACTAGTGATGAGGAACAGAGGTAGAAAGAGAAAGCATGAGAATGCAGAAGCAGAGAAACAGGAATGCAATGAGCGGTGGCAGTGATGACCACATATGAAAAGATTAGGAACTACTAATCTAGCTGAAAACACCATATGGAATTGTGTTTAGTGGGGAAGGAACCAGGCCCAAATAAGTCCATGTGCTCATATATATTTTTAAGTCAAGGCAATGAGGAATGGACTGTAGACAATGTGCAAGACTGCACCAGAGTTAGACTGCAGGCACGGTCACGGCTGCTGAAGGAGAAAACAGGAACAGCACATGCCCCTCATGTTCTCTGCACACACAGAGGTACAGAGCATGCACAGTGAAAGCTGCTCCTGAAGTTACATCACCATACACCTTCATGCAAGGAGCACTACCAGACAAATGTGTCCAAATCATGATATCGCTCAGATTTTTTTCTAACTCTAGTACAATTTACTTCCATATTATGCTCTTGCGTAAAAACAACACTGACTCCTAGCACTGAGAGGCTAATTTCTCAAACGAGACATAGGACACTGCTGTCCTCTAAACCTTAATACATCAGCTTTTTTTTTTTCTTTCAGCAGTAATTTAATTTCTAAAACTACCACAACGGCTTTCCGATCCTCCTCTTCCAGACTGACGTTTAAACCACTCAAAAGCCCAGAGAAGCAGAGATCACAACAAGCTTCCAACTACTAACAACAGAAACTAGGTCAGCAATAAAGCCATGCCATTTATTCCGTAATATGAGCAAAATCTATTTGAATTTACTGCTTTTCAATACCCATTTCTGTTTCACACTACAATGGAATTTGGGCAACCCCTCCAACCCCAGCTCTCAATATCATCCATAAAGAAGTTTCCATACTTTTTCCCAATGAATCATTTACGCATTTGTACTATGACACCACATGTTATCTGTAAGGAAGATAAGAAATGCAGTTCTGAAGTTCTTTGCTCTCTCTTTGTAAGAGAGGAAGATAGACTCCTATTCCTATTCCTGTGTACTTAAGGGGAGACAGTAGAATGGAGTATCTATGAAAGTAAGAAAACCTGACTCACAAGAGGGGAAAATAGAGAATACAAACTTTCATCTCCACAAATTAATTCTTTCTTTTATCTTAAACTTAATTAATTCTTACATATTCCTTCACCATGGAAAAAAATGGCTTAGATTTGCTAAGTTGTCTCCTACTTACTGAAATGAAAATGAACACTTTTACATTTTTAAAACATTCTCAATTGACTCTTCTTCCTATGATTATGACATAATGGGGGAAATATGTGTTTTATGTGTGCACTTTTGTGGTGTTCTTATAAACAATTTAGAAAGATATCTCAATTTAACAGAAACAAATTTTAAGCAATAGCTTTACTACTCAAAGCACAGGCTCATGGGGCTAACTGACTCCACATGTAGGTAATATACAAAAATACTCATGGACTTTCAGTTCTGAAGGACTTTACTCATTTTAGCTTAAAATTTATTAGGTTGAGCAAATCACTGGACACAGCTAAAAAATATTTCATTAGAAGACCTGTAAAATGAAGACTGCAGTCATGAAAACAGGAACAGTAACTTGTATAAACTTGTTTAAATGCTGCCCCACCTCCAGTCAGCTCTTTGCCATTTTCTTTTTGGATTGCTGACATGCACTATATTTAGAACACTTATACTTATGTGTTTTGCTAATTATACAACAACTGCATAGTGTGAAGACCTTTCTCTCTTTCCTCATCTCCACTTAATATCATTAGTACATCCCAATGAACTTCCACTGCAACTGTGGAAAGGTTACAGTGAGACAAATCCACATTTTGGTTAAAAGTGAGTAGGCAGATCTGTGACAAAGATTTCTTTCAAAATGGTGTTCAACAATTGCTAGCATGGATGTCAAAGAAAATTCTTCCAGAGTGAAAGACAATCAGAGATTATTTTCTAAAGCAATGCAGGTGAAATCCAAGGATGATTTTAAAATTAAAGTAACAGAAAACATGCATACAAGATCCTATTTTGTGGGGAAAGCAGTGTTGTCAATGACCAAACAAATATAAAGAAAATAAATTATGTATAGTAAAAACCTATCTGTAGGTAAGAAATTGTTTAAAGAAAGACATTTCATCTCCTTCAGAATGATGAACAGAATCTGGATTAAACAAACAATTTATGGTCTAGCACAAAACAAAAGGGTATGATCCAGAAATCTAATCTATGGGTGAGGAAAAGAAAATCAAATTAAACAATCCCTATGAAATTGTATGTACCTATTGCTTCTGCTTCCTGACTAGAGGAATGTGTATGTTTATTGTTGCCAATACTTGGGCTACTTCCCCTCTTGATCCCTGCTACTGTGCACCTGCTGAGAATGAAAATTATGTAAAGCATCACTTAATTTTATTTATTCCAGGGTACCACTGCACCACTAGCCCTGCTGAGCAAGTGACTGCTAAAACATACTGACCACCAATCCATTTTTTGTCATTTGCGTATCTCTTTGGCAACATCAATCTGACTTAGAAGCTGTGTGAGCAGCCGGGGAGGCCTGCTACTTACCTACCCTGACCTCCACTAGGAGAGGGTAGCATCCTGTTCATGATCAAGGTCAAGGTAGTGCTCCCAGCGAAGACTGAGATTTTCAAAGCCCAAAGCAGGTAGGATATAATTTGGGATATATTTTGAAAAACTCTGTTTAGGGACCTTATGTCTAGCAGGCAAGCACTAGCAAGTATTAGCAAGCACATGCAAGTATTAGCAGGTACAACCCATTCCTATTAAAAATCTGATTTATACAGGCAATTATATCCTATCTCTCACGTGGCAAAATGCTTATGAAAAGAATGGACAATGAAAAGTTGGACAATGTGATCAGGGGGAACGGGAGAGATTACATGGCTGTGATTATAATGTGAAACAATGCAGACAATTTCCATACACTGAGATAAACTACAAAGGCCCTTGAATTTCATACACAAAGAACGACACAATTACAATTACTGTTTCAGCAGCTAGCCAGAAAAACAGCGCTCTTTTACCAGGGCAAACACACCAGTAAAACAGAGCTGTCTTCCACAGGACCATGAAAATGGACAACTTGCAGGACCTCATGCAGGAGGTCCACATCTTCCATACATTACACCCAGCAGGTGTACTTTTCAGAAACCATTCCCAGAAAACCTACGGCTGCATTCATCTTTTCTTGCTCACACAAAGGGACAGTTAATAATAATTTGCTAGAGCTGGTCCAGGAAAAGAAAGAAGAGTGCTTCGGTCAAAACTTCCTCACATTTTTAACTTCAGTAGCAATTTTGCAAGCAAAGAAAATGAAAAGAGTGGCTCATGATTAACACTGTTCCCTTGTGATAAGCAAAGTTCAAGTGCTGGATTTGGAGGGCTAGACGGAACAGCATAACAAGAACACTGGTCAACTATGTAAAATTTTGTATAAGGGTGCTACATTCATCTTATGTAATTATCAGCAATGTACTACATCTTGTAGGGCAATGAAAGAGTAAGACTCATACCTCAAGAACTTTCAGACTAAACAATACTGCTTTTCAAGTACCTTTGCTGAAGTATTTTTAAACGTCAAACAACTGGTTCTTGAGATATAACCAAAAACATGGTAAGTATTCAGCTATTATAGTATAATAGTTTTTTTGTACCATAATGTCTTTCAGCTCTACAGTACAGTATTAATGACTTTAGACAAGCTCTTAATTTTTAAACAAATATGAAAAACCTTCTTTACAGAATGCTTTACTATTTCTTTCCTCCAAACACACCACAAGGAGCCACTTTAGCTTATTGCAGATTTCTTTGACACCCCACATCAATCATTTACTTTTAAGGGATGTGATAGGATTGTTGCAGAGAAATAAAGCTATGAAATTCCTATAGCTTTATTGCCTTACTGAGTTAACAAATTATTATAGGAATGCTGCAAATGGCACAAGACAAATCAGTAAAACTGATTCATTGTATTGGAAATTAATGAAAGGAGAAGTAATAAGAATAGGTATTTCATAATTGGCAACTACGTATCTGGATAGGAACACCAGGCACTGGAACAGGCTCTCCAGGGAACTGGCCATGGTACCTAGCCCGTCAGAATTCAAGAAGCATTTGGACAACAGTCTCAGGTACATCTGGTTCTTGGGGATCTCCTGTGAAAGGCCAGGAGTTGGACATGAGGATCCCTGTGGTCCTGTTTCAACTGAGGATCCTCTCTGATTACAGATATCAGTGTGCTTCTCTTAAGGAAATCTGTATCAAAGAATTCCACAAGTGATTTGGATTTTACTTTCTAAGCTCTCTGAATTCACTGAAATTTACTGTGAGAATTTACATACTTTAAAGTGTGCTTACAGTTATTTTGTAGATCTTCATTCTCTTCACAATACACTTTACCTACATTTTTCTGCATTTATATCACCATTATAGTAACTACAGCATGATCACACAAGTTTCTTAAAATGTTGGATGCTGAACTAAAATAACTTTTTTGAAGCATAATGTCACTGCTTGCACATTTTAACAAATTAGGAATCACAAGCTTTACCACACTATACTTCAATCACTACTCCCCCTCTCTGCAAAAGACAAAAGCTATTTTACTCATCACGTATCAAGAAATATGAAGGTTCTTAATTAAGGTCACAATTCTTTCCAATTAGTAAGAAGCAATACTAGGAATTCACAAAAATGTTGGCAAAATAGAAAACCAGTGAAAAATAGGGAAAGCAAGCAATGGTATGAAATGATCACGTTGGTGTGGAGTGGTAAAGGTACAATGAAGGCAGAAAGGACAGATTTGCACAGGTTGCCGACCTTCTCCTAAATTAAAAGAACTTTGAAAATAAAGGGAATCAACCATTTTTGCATTAAAAAGGCTTCTCTGACTGCCGTCTACAGACACTGTTTAATTTACAGCTGTTTAATTTCACTTACTGATGCCTCCTGCATTCTGGGAACCTGTGGGCCTTCAAAAAGAGTAGGAAAAAAGCTGGAAGGTTTGATCCCTCTTTAGCAGGAGGCATTGTCAAGTTTTTTTGATATGCAAAAGAACCAGCACAAACATCAATTGTTTCTTTGAAGGTTCAAGTATTCCTGACTGACAACTGCAGTATCTGTTGACATTGAACAGATTTAAAAAGCACTTTGAAGAAAATAAGAAACGCTCTCTTTTCCACACAATAATCACCAATAAGCCAATAGAGGAATGATATTCTAGTTTTTAAAGGGAGCTACAAAATGGGAAAAATACACTGAATACGGTGAAGAGAGAAGAGCAATAACATTCTCTTTAAAAGGATTAAAAGTGGCCTTATATTTCCCTCAAATTAGCAAAACAATACTACACGATGTAATTTACAACCAATCAGCTTATTGTTCTTATGTAAACACTGAAAAACATTCCTTTCAAAAATCCCAAATCCTCCAAGCTGTTAAGAAAACCAGATAACTATGTGAATTCCTCAAACGTCAAACAATCCAAACAAAAGTATAGAACAGCACTAAGACAGACAAACAGTAATTACTACAAATCACACACAACATATGAAGAGCTATCTCAATCAAAGCAAAGCTACCAAGCATTCACTTGGGACACAGTTTCTGAACACCAAGGTAAAAAACAGGAACAAAGAGCAAAAACACACTGCATTGTACTACTGCATTTTCACTGTTGGATATTCAATGCCTAACAATTCTCCTTCCCAGGAGCCACTGCTCCCTGAAGGTTTAATGAAGAAGCCCTTCAAACTGTCCACTTGCTCTGACCACGACTGACACAGAGGCCAATGGCCTCTTCTTCCTTATTTCTTCTTTTAAAGTGTGGGGGCTGCCTATTCTAGTACAGAAGTGGAGTTCAAGCACGTTTGACTCCACTACTGTTTCCAGGCCTTTTTCTGATATCCCAGGCTTCCTGCCCTTCATTGTTGTGCCTCTGCATACCTGGAAGGCAAAAAGGCTAGGTCGTGGAAAATGGGAGAAAGAATTCAAGAGAGGAGCAATAAGGACATTTAGGCAGAACTGGAGGCCATGAATGTGGGCACACAACTCAAGTACACAATTCTGCTTTTAGTAAGGGAACCAAATGCCACAGGCTAAGACCTTTTATGAAGTTGAGTCTCCAGATCCAAGTACACACTTCTGCTTTCAGTGAGGGAATCAAATGCCACAGGCTATGATCTTTTATGAAGTCAAGTCGCCAGACATGAGAAATCACAGGGCAAAAACCCAACCCTACAATATGGAAATAATATCCAACCTCACTTAGAAAAGTGAGTCTTAGCATTTAGATGTTTCAAAAAACCTTTCCTATTGCTACTGCATCACCACAACACCCAAAACCCACTGCTCCTCAAGCAGAACACATACTTCCTCCAAAGCAAGTTTCTCCTCAAAATCATACCACAAATTATCAGTCTTGAAGGGATCAGATACTCCACAAAAAGAGAAAGATTTCATTTACATTCATTCACAGTTGCTTTTGTCATCTGCAAGTACTCTACCACATCCTGGCCTTTATAAAGGCAATTCTGTATGCTTCTAGACCTGTGCTCACTTTGTTCCCTTGGATTCACTTAGACCCTTATCCTCCTTTCTTTACTTGCAGAGCAGAGGATGTACCTAGGCTCTCACAGCTTTCCAAAGCTGGAGGCTGATAGCATCAAAGCACTACCCTCAAGAACTCTTCTTGCTGAAGCGGCCTCTGTCAACAGGATTTTGTATGCAACAGTGCCATCTTCAGTTCTTTTAGGAAAATTGCTTTACTGAAATATGATGGATGCAAATAGGAAAAAATCAACCATGAATTGGTCCAAGAGGTGCTACAGTGCTATTCCTTCATCTAAAAATGCAAAGCTGATGCCTTCAGCTAGTATGAGGGGGGCAGGTCCCACTCTGATCTCAGTTTTGGTTCCATAACCAGCCCACAAAAATCTTAACTGTAGCAGAGGAAGTCTCTCATTCCAAACCCCTTTGTTAAACTCTTAAGAAAACATGTAAAATAGCAACTTAGCCAGAGTTATTATTTTTGAAGGCACAGTAATAAGGCTGGACTGACGAATTTTTCACATTTGCTCACTCCCAGAAAGCACTACACTGTTTTTCTTAAAAGGCACTAAAGGTCACTCCGCTCACTTAGTACTACCAAATAATGTATTTTTCCAGCATCACCTGCAGAACGCATACAGAACCATCTACACATACTGACAGCAACATCAGGCAAACTTGCTTGCATAGTCTCAACATTTCAGTTAGCTGTTCTAAATAAAAAAAAAAAAAAAAAATCATGCTCCACTATACACACACATGCTGTTCAATGTCTGAAGAGCACTTTAAAAGCCTCTTCTTAATGGAGAACTCTCTCTGAAATGATGGCAATATAAAAACCATATCCTTATAAACAAAACATAGTAAAAACATCTGTTCCCCATGCTTGGAAATAAAATACTATCATATAGTGACAAAGTAGGAACTGTTTGTACAGAGATTCTGGCTTCCAAATTTTCATCTTCTGTTTTTGTAGGATTCTGTTGCCAAAAGCAAAGATTAAACAACTCTTTGCCTCACAATAATTCTGTAGGTTCATCTTTCCTCGTACCTTTTGCACTTATAGTCTTCTGGATTAAACTGTATATTCATGATTCCATAATTGCTTTCATCACCTCCCACAGGAACCAAGATAGGTTTGATATCCTCTTCCATATTTGGTGAATATGTCTCCTTTTAGATTCTGTCAGTTCTCTAGCCTGAAGAAAAGGAACAAAAAAGAAGTAAGTTCACTGAATTAAGCAAAACTATGTCCCTCCTATTAATTTAACAGTGGTACAGTCCCACGGTTTCAGAAGTTCCTGGGCTGAAAAGCAACAGTAAATAACTTCAAGATGACACTTGAGAATTCTTATTCCATAATGCAAATATCATGACACATATATGGTGGGGACAGTATTTTTTTAAAACATGCTATCCAGCCCTTAATCTCTTTCAGCACCACAACAAAGCAGTATGAATTAAATATAAATTTCTAAAGGAACTGTATTTCTAATGTGCAATGGTACTGCTGAGAACAATCTATCAGTTATAAGAGCCTACTGTTTCACTAAATTACTTCAAACTTTGCAGCAGACACATATGCAGTTTATTCCAGTTCCAGTACATTTCCCATAACAAGGATCAGATCATTGCAGTCTACTGTGTCCGGGTCTTTTGAATGAAAGGTAATAAATGGTTTAATAATGCATTAATAACAACTATTATATGGATTTAAACCATTCCTGGCAAAAGAGTGGGGAGCAGACAACTTTTAAACTAATGCATTTCTACTCAGTTTCAATTAAAGGCCTCACATGGAACTTTCTGTGGTCTTGTGTGCAGCTGAACAAAAACAATGGCTTAACAGCACTCATTTCTGCTATCTCCTCAGGCAGGACTCCTCCAAACAAAAATGTCAGAAGCCAGGACACTTTCAAACAGCAATGGCAGAAGTATCTGTTCTTCCATCATTTCAGAATGCTTTAAAATGTTAGGCTGATGGAAAGACAGATGACAACCACAGCTGGCACAAGGCAAGGAAGGGTAGTGCTGGCTGTTTGAAACCTGGAATGGCAATGGAAGATAGAAAGAATAAGGTGTGTATGATCCTTCTGCATCCTCATGGAAATACACCATAAAGGCCCAACCTCAGAAATCACACCAACCCAAGTTAAGCAGACACAGTTTTATCCCTTCCTAGATACACACTGTCAATCCTCTTCCATTAGCTTATCTGCCAATACCCCTGCCAAAAAATCAAAACAAAACAAAACAATCTGAAGGAGAGGATGAAAAATGAAAGTTACTACATCTACTCTCCTGGACTGAAAAACTGCTGAAGGATTCACAGGAAAACACTGACGGACAACGTGGCAGGAACTGCAGAAGCATTAAGACTGGCTCAACCTGCCAAGGAAGCACTTTTTAGAAAACAGACAAAGGTAATAGCTCTCTGTTCTCAAGGGCAGAGGATCAGTACAGGACTCAGTTTATGACAATTGCACTGAAAGTTCAAGTCCTGCTTTGACAGCTCAATTGCATTTATGCGATCCCATACTGAACTGGACAAGGAGGACTGACATGGATGAAAATTAGCCATTCTGTCTTTTGCTTTAAACCCACATCAGTGTTGAGTTTGGGGGTTGTAATCTGTATGCTTGCATGCCTGCACAAGGGAGGGGATAGTGCCATAGAAGCCATTTAATCTTGCAGTGCTGACAGATTCCTCGTAGTTTCAACATCCACAACAAGGGATTTGAACAGTTACTAAATTTAAAGGCATGATTTTGAGTTTAAAGAAATGATTGTATCTTGGTCACTTTAGCTCTTTGAGAGAATACAATATGCAAATGGTAATAATCAAGGCAATCCTAAGACACTTATTTGCACTTGCTGACAGCATTCTTTCTCCTACACTTAATTTCTGCTGTTACACTCCCTAAAGCTTTATTCTTCTACCTTTTTCAGATCCTTTCCAAGGGATCCTCTTACCACCCTTAACTTACTGCTTTCTCTCTTTTGCCACTCCAGCCTTCTAAAAAACATCAGTTCTGATTCTTCACCCTGAAGTCCTTCTTACCCAAGCAATACTGCTTCTGGCTCTTTGGCCCAGCTAAGCACGCTCTCATCTTCTCTGGTCCTCTGGTAATGCTTAGCAAATGGATTTCTGCTCCTCACTTTCTTTTTATTTTCTGTCTCTCCTATACACTGTCAAAATTGCTTATCCAACCCACCTTTACTAAGCACTACTTACAAAGAGTTCACACCAACATTTTTACTTCTTTTCATGTGACATGCTGTTCCTCTCCAAACTCTCTTTACAGATACCCTTTTATACACTTCTTTTCTACTGCCTGCTCTTATTTTTCTACAGCTCTAGGCTTTCTGCTTTCTCCCTGCTGATGCCCTTCCAGTTAAAATTTACCCTGGTGCACATGAGCTTCCTGCAACAGCTAAATAATTCTGAAGCAAAAACACAGGCCCCAGAGATTTCACACACGGCTACAGGCAACCACCCAGTCCTCTGCCACTCCAATTAAAATATGCCATTACCTTATTCTAGTCTACTCTATTCTATTCTATTCTATTCTCAACTGAACATCCTGTGTTCATATGATGAACAGACAAACCTAGGTGTAAAACATGATCCCCCTCACTTGTTCGGCATTTTGTATCTCTCTAAAGAATTTAAATTACACTTCAGATCTAGCCACAAAAATGCAGATAAAAATTATAATTCCTAATGCCTGAGTTGAAAGTTGAAATAAATTCACATCCCAAATAGTCAGTGGTTTTAGCCACACTCTTCCATAAGACCACAGTATAGACATCCCTTCCTTCCACAGGCCATGGTTTGTGAGACAGATTAAGCACGCATCAAATGCACATCCCTTCCTTAAAATATGTTAATATTTGTTCTTTACGAGTCATCCTGATAAATGTTGACAACAGTGATCACAGTTTGATTTTTTCTGCACTACTGCTGTAAAGAAAGAACCCAGATTTTACAGTATTCCATAAAAAAATGATCCTTCCAAAATATATCACACACTTGATATATTTATATCAATATATATATATCATTGACAGCATGATGAAGCTTGTGGAGCTGATACTCACTTGACTCTTTAGGGTCAGTTAGAAGCTGGGTCTGCAAAGACAGCTTATTTTTTAAGTACCTGTTGTTGATAAGAATTGAGTTCATGACCAGCAAGCTTATGACCAGCAAACTGGCTACTCTACAAATAGATTAAGCTATGACACGTGAACGCTGGGGCTGGAGCCAGTAGTTTAAAGGACAACTGTAAGCAGAAAAGCAAAATGAAGAAGAATTAACCAGGTTAATTCTTATCTATGCCTACAGAACATCTCTCTCTTATCTATGCCTACAGAACATTCTATTGTTCTGCAAGCTGAAGCACTACAACAGAAGGGCAGCAAAAGGAAACAAGTGGGTCAGAATTTAATAATCCAGGTTTCCTGTTGCTGGTCATAAACTGTGAGGCAACACCTAACTCTATGCAAGTTATTTTTCCCCAGTCTCATTCTCGGCTACACTCCACATGACTTCTAGATGGTAATCTTAAAGAGGACTGGACCTTCATTAATCCTCACTGGCTCAGACCTATGAGCTTCTGCTTTCACTGTCTTCAGGTTCTCCAAACCCAGTTTCAAAGTCTAAAAAGCATGAAGAAGTGAAGACAAGGATATGGCAGATTTAGAAGCCTCAATGTAGCCTGTGATGTTAGCACTGGATAGCAAAACTGTATTAGTTGGCTTCCACTGTGAATTTAACAAGTTTATGGCTCAGTTATACATGTGTCTGATAAAGCTTTAAGATGAGACAGATGATTCAGCGTTACAGCCCAGGCCATGCAAGAGAGCTAGCAAACAGGTTTACCCCGGCAGGAACAAAACTGTATTCAGTTAGTCAATCATCACAACCATCCCATAAGCACAGACTGTGCTTAGCTGGTATTTATCAGAGAACCTCCCACAGCAGGCAGGAGAAAGGCTGAGAGGATCACTACTCCCACAGCTTCCACCATGCCATCGTGGTGCTGTACAAACAGCAACTGGACCACTGAGAGCTATTTACACTTAATTTTTTATTATGAGTCACTATTTCTAAAAAGCACCTCACACTTATGATTTAAATACCAGAATCTGTTAATCAAAGTATTTAGTTCAAACACAGAAATTGTTTTTTAAAAGTGCCACTTGGAGTAATGCGGTCTTCTCTTAAATTCTGAGCAGGATGAATACAGTTGAAGGAATAATACTCAAGTAAGCTGCAGGTTGTGCACATGTGAGAAATAAGCACACTCTACACTGAAAGATGACAAGTTCAACAAAGGACAGCACAGTTCCTGAGTTCCTGGAGTGAATCCTCAGCCAGAAGGGACCGAAGGATGCTGTACTGGTCACTAAACTAGCAGCATACATTCAGAGCTCCTTAAAACGGGGACAGCATGGGTGGCGCCTTATAGACACCTCAGCTTGGCCATACTCTCCTAAAACTGCATTGGTTAAAGGCGATTAAAACTGGATAAGCAACCTAAGTTAGCAACTTTTTGAGGAAAAAAAAGACTTGAACATACAAGCCGAACCTCTGCTGAGCTTTCGTGTAGCTCTGACTGAAGGAACAGGTACACGGTCATGCCAAATGATAAATCTAACTAAAATTTTAAAAACCCAGCATGTTCAACTAGATTTGTCTTTGGCAAAGCTTGTATAACGTATATATTTGTGGGCACTGCAGTAAATACTTACAGAAACGAAACACTATCACCTTACGCTAACTTACATTTTAAACACGATTTTTGTTTTTACTTAACGGGTTCTCCCTCAGGCCCGCGAAAACCGATGTAAATATTTCCCTGCTTCACGGACCGCCCGAAAAGCTTCCACGCTGTTCCAGTACCTCCGCCCCCGCTCTGACGATCTGCCCGTGTTCCCACGAACACGGCGTGGCCGGTCAGTGCCCTGCCGCTGGTCAGTGCCTGCGGCCGGCGCGGCTCCTGCCCGGCCCCTCCGCCCCGCAGGTCGCGCCCCCGAGCCGGGCGGGCGGCGTGGGGGCACGGAGCGGGACACGGAGCGGGACCGGCGACGCCGCCTCCCCGCGCTCCGGAGCCGCCCCGCGCCCCGAGATCCCCACCGGCGCCGCGCTCCCGCCGCGGCCACAGGAAGCGCGGCGGCGGCTCCGGGCCTGCCGGGGGCTCCGGGCGTGCCGGGCCGCGTAGTTCCTGGAGCGGCTGCGCCGAGGAAGCCGCCCAGGCGCTGCGGAGTGCAGGACTACGATTCCCAGGAAGCGGCGGGGCGGTGTACCCGAGCTGCCAGGCGAGGGCCTTACCGTACGGACAAGCGTGAGCCCAGTGCCGGGAAGATTTGCACTTGTTGGTGTTGGCTGATGAGATGCCGCTAATAATAATAATAACAATAAAATAATAATAATAACCCAACAAAACACACCAAAACCAAACCAAAAAACCCCCCACATACTCATTTGCTTGCATGCTTTTGCGGTCAATATAGTGATAAAATCCATAAGTGACCCTTGCCAAGACAAGTCGTGCTGGTCTTCACGTGACTGGCTACGGAGTGATGTATCCAGGGCGTCCTGACCTGCTCAGCGAGGTGTTTCACACCGAGCAGAGCACACTAAGCAGACTAAACAATAGTGACAGTATGCCCAGCAATACATTTTAGAAATTCACTATTTTTAATCCTGGGTTGGTTTGTTTTGTTTTCTTTTTTGGAGGTTTTTTTGGTTGGTTGGTTGGTTGGTTTGGTTTGGTTGTTTCTGAGTTTTTTGTTTGTTTCTTTCTTTCTTTCTTTTAATTTGGTACTACTTAAATCAAGTTGAGATAAGCTTTTCATAGCTGAAAACATGGTTATTATCACAATCTATGGATATTTACAGTTCATGCTTGGAAAAACTGCTGAATTGCAAGGAAGACAGCAAAGAGAGCTTCCCCATGTGACAATATTACAAAACAGGCTAGACACAAATCATCCCCTGTACTTCCTGTTCAAGTAAAGTCTAAATTGTACAGCTAGCAGCAGGACTGCAGGACTGTTCTGCAAGAAAATTGCTGTGTAATTGAATTTCAGACTGCTGACGGAAATGAGGCAGCAGAGACTTAACAGTATGAATCATCCTGAAATCCAGCTACACAAATTCATTGGGACCAAAACTCTTACTTCTGTACCCAGGAAATTCATCATCATCTTTAGCGTCTGAGGCACTCTTGGAATCCAAGTGTACATTGTGGGCTTTGGCCATTAGAAGATTTTGGTCAAGAAGTCAAGCAGTCTGCCCAGCTGCCATCACAGGAACTTGAAATGCAATGCTAACACCATGTGCTGGTGCTATGAAATTAAAAAACTAGAAGTGTGTCAATAATTGTTTTTTTCACCTTGCAAGCTTCTACTCTCGCTCTTGCAGGCCTGTGTTCTGTGTCCTATGCTGTGAAAGATTTGTATAATATTATATCAGCTAGATTATCTGTATTTCATTGCATTCTTGGTCACCTACTACAGTTCTTGAGTTATGCTTAGGAAAAGTGTTTTATTGTAAGAACTATAAGCCTAGCAGAAGTAGATTCATCCTGCTCCCTGTCCTGCAGTGTTTGTGTTCTGGCTTTCTCTTCTGATGACACATTACCTCCTGGGCAAAGAGTGTCTATGTGCTTGGACAGGGCCTAGAAAAATGGGAGCCTAAACTAATTTGAAGCTCTTGGCAAATCTGTAAGACAAAGGGAGTATTAAATCCAGTTCTAAGAAATTTCCATCTTATGCTATGTTGAATCTTCTTTTTACTGCCTCAAGCATACTTTACTCTGCACTTGCCATTATAATTGTAATATGCAAAAATTCATAAAATTGAGGTATTATGGAACATTATAGTAGATGAATTAATAACCTTCCCCATTGATGAAACAGAGCATGGTCACATAGCTAACAAACTTGGACGGGTGTTGCATTTTGTTAGAGAAAACTTCAGGTTTATTTCTGAAAGATACTGATAATACATCCGGATAGCATTTACATTATGGAAACTGTGCTGTGCTCAAAATCTTGTTTGTTGGCAAAGAGAAAGTATACTGCCATTTAACTAAGGCAATCATTTGTTGAAAATATAACCAAAATTCTATATGTCAGATCATTATTAGTCCAGCACTGTTACACAAAAAGAAAGAATAATGGGGTTTATGCATATATTTGCCTCTTTCCCCTGTTCTTGGTGCTATGGCTACCCTTCTGCAGCTCTGGACTGTGAGATTGCTGGTTTCATTCTTGGGCAGTGGTTAGAGGAAGGGACATTACAGCAGGTTATCAGCATCTGGAGCCCATCTCTGAGAAGAATATGATGCTTAACATTGCTGGGTTCTTCTTCCTCACTTTAAAGAGTTGCACTCACACTTGGGGTGAATTCTTACAAGTACTTATAAAATACTTCTGTATGTTTTTCTGGTTAGCTGCAACTCCATATTGTGCTTGAATGTAATACATAATATGCTGTTTACATATATTGGATAATTCTTTTTCTGGTTTTGCTCAAGCAGATAACTGTGCTTGAGTAGGGCTGGTTGGGTAAAATTACCTCAAGGGTAGTCTACAACCATCTTGTGCAACTTGTACGCTGCCACCATGGTTTACATTGAATTGTTAGCAGCTGTTGGGGGAAAAAAAAATATTAGCTCTCAAAAGAATCCTCTGAGTTGAAGAAATTAGTTACCATTACCATGTAATTTCTTCCCATTCACAAAATGTCATAGTTTGGCTTCTCCTAATGTAGTGGAAAGTAATCTGGAGCCAGTAGAGAGTGTCCTATAAAGAGTCAAAGGAATAAGGAAAGAAAATAACTCTCCAAGTTTATCTACTAATTAGAGGCTGTGACATCTGATTGTAGTTAAAATTAACTGAGATCACCCACCTGGCATTACAGATCTGCTACTATGACTGCATTCATAGTAGCTCCCCATGTCTACTATTAAAAGTATTAACTTAAACAGTATGGAGTGCTGAACATACAGTTACACTGGCAAAGCTGAGGGAATGGTTCCTGTTCTTGGAAAGTAGAAGGAACAATTTGAAAGCTTTCAGTTTGGCTTAGATGTGTCAGAGTAGTACATCTGCCACTAACCATAAATTTCTCAGGAGAACAGACACACTGCTCTCTTTCTTTCTGGGCATCCAAAACAGAGCTCCAGTGCAATGGCAAACAGAAGCCATTTTGGCTCATAAAGCCGCTTACTCTGCTTCCTTGTTTAGGCAAAAAGTAAAATGGTTACCACAGTGGGTGATATTTTACTCATGAGCCTCCCTGCTAGTTTCAGGTGCTGCTTTGGGAACTTGTGAACAGCTTAACACACTTCCCACAGAGATGCTCCCACTGCAGATTCTTCATCCTTGGACATTATGTGTCTGACTGAACACTTACTGAAAGCTGGTAATTCCCAGCACTATGCACATTATACACACATGCACACACACATATAAAATCTAGAGGCGCAGATTTAACCTCACTGTGAGACAGAGAAGCTGGTTATGTCTCTTACCCACTTTGCACTCTAACCTGAGTCCTGTCTGGATGCTCCTGAAAAATGAAGAGCTGCAAAGGGTAGGGTTTAACAGATGATGGCTAATGCGAAAATAACAAAAGCATTAGTTCAAAGACCACTTTCCAAAATTTCCCAGCTGCTGCAGGAATTTGTCTTAATGCTCAAAGCACTTGCTAATCATTCAGATGTTCACTACAGAAATACAGATCTGGTGTCAACTCTCTCTGCAACAGAAGGCATTAAAGTTCTTGAACACATACACCATTTTTCAAATTGTTTTTCTGACAAGAAAAATCTGTTGAACATGGTAGAGCAGGTTTTAATGTGTTTTACCATGTTTATGAAAAGAGGTACAGAGAAGACAGACACTGCACTTCCACGCTGTAGCTTGGAAGCCCAAGCTGCAGCGCCAGACTACTGGCTACTGATTTTAGCAGATGAACTGAATTGACAGGAGTGCAATCCATGTTCTCCTCCATTCCACCATCACATCCTGAGCCTGGAATTCAGCTACCTTTCTTATCTCTGACAAGTCTGGTATAACAAAAAAACAGTGGGAAGGAGGTGTCATTCTAAAGTTTGAGTTGTCCGGGGGAGTTAATTTTGTATTGTTTTTCCTGTTTTACATATTTTTTTTTTTTTTAATATTCCAGCAGAAGCACACGCTGGGTATTCCGCTAATACTTGGAAAAGGTGTAGCAGTGAAATGGCCGCTGCGCCAGCTGCGGCTCGGCGGCTCCAGGCCCTCGGCGCCTCGGCAGCGCCATTCCCGCCGCAGCGGCCGCACGTGAGGGGCCGGGGCGCGCCCGCGGAGCCCGCCCGCGCCGCGCGTCCATTGGCCGTCGGGCGCGACACGTGATGTGGCGGCAGGGGCACATGTGGCCGCACTGAGGGCTGTCGGCGCTAGCCGCCATCTTCTTTCGGCGCGCAGTGTTGGCGACCGTGGGAAGGAGGTAGGAGAGGGGCTGCCCTGAGGGTAGCGGAGTGCTTTTTCGCGGCAGGACCCTCACCTCCTCCATCCGCACCAGCGCAGCGCCCGCGCCGGGCGCGCTCACTCCCGCCCGTAGGCGTCGGCGAGCCTCGGTGCCGGGAGCCATTTTCTGTTCTTTCGCGGTACGCTCCGAAGCCTGGTGGGAGGCGGCCGCTGATGAGTTTTGTCTCTCCTTCTGGCAGGGCGCAGCACAATGGAGGAAGACTGGAATGCGGAGATAGGGGATGAGGCGTTACTCCCATCCCTTGAGAAGGTATGAGTGGGAGGGGCGGCTGTGGCGACTGAGTATGTTTGTTTCTTTTTTTTTTCTTTTTCTATGTTTCCTTCCTCCAACCCGTGTCCCTGCAGCCTGGGTGGCTGCTGGGCAGTGCTATTCCCTGTTCTCGTGATGTTTGGAAATATGGTAGGCAGCCATAGGAGTTCAGTTACAGAAGAGAGATTTTCTCTGTGCTAGCAGTTTACTTGCTGATGTTTTGTGCAGATACTAGTGATTGTTGTGTGCTTAAGTGATCTTGACGTGTCAGCTGTGTATAATGTGTTTTTTGGTAGCTTTCAGATGCAACCAGTATGCCATTTAGTGTGAAATGCATCTTTCATAAGATGCAGAAGGCAACTTCTTTCAAGTGCATGACTTAGTAGCTGTGTTTGTATTTACATGCTTTATTAGGCCTAAAGTCTTTGTATTGTTGTGCCTTTTTTCTTTCTGCAGGTTAGCTTGCTTGAGAGACCAAATGACACCTCATCTGTCTTTAATTCAAGTGTAGACTCATTTGGTATGTGAAAGGCACTTTTAACTTTACTGATGTTTGGAAGAGTTGGTCCCTTGAGCATTGTACAGGATTGAAGGAAAACACAATGTTATTGTGATGTTTTAATGGGACCCCCATGGAATAGCAGCATCAAATTATACAGAGAACATAATGATTAGGCCTTCTTTTTACTGTCAGTGCTTCCTTTTTTTACTGTGATTATATAGTAACATATAACTACTAATGAGTCAAAGACAGCTTTGAATTTTAATTATTTTTTTTAATTGTAGGTGCTGATGAATTTGTGAACTCACAGCATCAGCCAATGAGTAGTTTTGGCAGAGGAAGGAATTTTGCAGCCAAAGGTAACTTCCAGTAGTGGTTGTATTTCTAATGACTAGTTGGGTATGATAAATTAAATTTTGCCATTCACCACTTTCAGTCAGCAGGCAGGTTCAGCTCCTTGAAAGTAGAGCTCCATCATGCATGACCATGTCTTGGGAAGTCAAATACCATCACTCCAAATGCCCTCCTCTTCCTCCTTTTCTTGGATTTATATGCTAAGCTTTATGCCACATGGGGTGGGATCAGCTTTCCTAGTTCTGTTCTATCCTGTCTCGTGCACCCTCACCCCCTCTTGCTGGTGTGCTGGGGTGAGCAGCAGAAAAGGCCCCAGTTCAGTGTGATCACTGCTTAGCACTAACTAAAAACATCCCTTTATTATTAGTACTGTTTCCAGCAAATCCAAGGCACAGCCCCGTGCCAGCTGCTGTGAAAGAAATTAACTCTATCCCAGTCAAACACAGCACAAGTGATTATTTGAAAAAATTCTGTACAATTTCTGCATCCTTTTTGTTGAATCCTGTTATGGTGGGTGAATGCTACGCTTGTTTGGTGCAGGGCACTAATGTCAAGCAGTTTTGCTGTAGACTCTCCAGCAGCAATTATGAAGTAACTGGCAAGCTGTATTTAAGGTCTGTTGTGTTTATGGATACTTGGAATGCTGTCATTTGCATATGAGCCCTTAAGATACAATTTTTGTATCTCTAACTGATGTGGAAAAAGAGAACTGACTGATAGAGTGGTATACACACCAAACTCTGGTGGCGAAGAAGCCACAGATGCTGTGCTAGGAGAACTTCATGGTGTCCTGTACCACATATTTGTCATTACAATATGATGGAACAGGGGTTCAGCTGAAAACTAAGGACTAAGGGGCAAATTGTGTTCTAAGCTGATTGTTCGGTCCTTAGATAACCCCTGAAACTTAAGTCTAAAATGAAGAATACCTTGGTTATGCATATGTTAATTTCCTTTCTCATCCACTCAGAAGAGTGGCTAAGGGAAGGCATTAGAAATAAAAAATACGCTATGTACTTACTGCCGACTGAATAGGCAGTTCTGAGTAATAAAAAAATGGAACTCTGTAGATCTGAAAGACATGTTTTCAAGTCCTCCCTTCATAGCAGGCAGCAACTCGCATTGCCCCTTTACTCTATAGTACCAGTTAAGAAAACTGTGAAGGGACAAATGTTGTCAGTTGCCCTTGATGAAGAAGTCTAAACTCATCTGCGCCCTTACTGAAGAGTTGAAGTTTGTGGCTTGATTAGCATAAACACTAAAGTCAAATACTTCAAGACCCAATGTTTGATTTACTTTTTGAAATTGTTTAGGAGAGAAGTACTGTTTTCTGTCAGACTTCTTGTCAGAAAATACTTCCTGTCTTCATTTGTTTCATATATTTAGGCAAATCACTTAGTTGTGTATTTAAGTTTTTGTGAAATTATTAAACAAGGACTGAGAAGAACAATTACCAGATATAAGGGGCTTGACCTGCACATCAGAATTAGGCAAAGTTCAGTGATTGTGTGCTATGCTGTACTGCAGGTTTTCAAGAAGGAATTGAAGAAGATGCCACTATGCAAAACAGAGGGTTTAAAGGATTTGGGCAAGGTGAGTATAAGTTTGTTGCATTGACTGGTTTGTATGATGCCAGCATACTGGCCATTCTTTCTGGCTTTGCTCATTCCTTGAGAGTGAGCAGTCAAGAGTGAAAGCATTGAAATGACTTTTCTTCATCCAGACAAAAGGCACTTGATGTGCTGATGCAGTTGCTGTGTGCTATGCTGTGTTATTGCAGGTTTTCAAGAACGAAATGCTGTAGATGGTGCTGGTACAGAAAACAGGGGGTTTAAAGGATTTCGTGGTGGCTTTGGACAAGGTGAGAGTAAGCTTGATGGTTTGGTGTTTTTTGCATCCTGAGTGGTTTGTATGGGTGCAGTGTATGGTTGGTGATCCTCCTGGATTTTTTTGCTCCCTGAGAGCTACCAGTACAAGGGTGAAATCAGTAAAATGGCTTCTGTTCTTCAGCCAGATAAATGGCATTTGATCTGTAAATGCAGAATTGAGCCAGCTCTGTTACTTTGTGTTAGGTTGTGCTGCCGGTTTTCAAGAAGGAAATGGGGAAGATGCTACTACACAAAACAGAGGGTTTAAAGGATTTGGTGGTGGCTTTGGACAAGGTAAGTTTGTTGCATTGACTGGTTTGTATGACATCAGCATACACTGGCCATTCTTTCTGGCTTTGCTCATTCCTTGAGAATGAGCAGTTAAGAGTGAAAGCATTGAAATGACTTTTCTTCATCCAGACAAAAGGCACTTGATGTGCTGATGCAGTTGCTGTGTGCTATGCTGTGTTATTGCAGGTTTTCAAGAACGAAATGCTGTAGATGGTGCTGGTACAGAAAACAGGGGGTTTAAAGGATTTCGTGGTGGCTTTGGACGAGGTGAGAGTAAGCTTGATGGTTTGGTGTTTTTTGCATCCTGAGTGGTTTGTATGGGTGCAGTGTATGGTTGGTGATCCTCCTGGGTTTTTTTGCTCCCTGAGAGCTACCATGGTAGAACTGAGAACTCCTGCTGCTACTTCTGTTCTTCAGCTGTGTTGTGGAATATGAATGGTCTCTTTAAAAAATGAGTATTACTGGGTAGAATATGGTATAGGTTGGAGTTAATGAAGAAGTTGTTGGGAGTGTTGCTCTGCAGATTTGTTGGAGCAAATAGCTGGCTTTAGTTGTAGTATTTCATGACACTAATGTGTGATTTAGGAGAGCTGATCAAGCACCTTGCCCCACCACCACCTCCATACCAGCCATTCAGGGGGGTGAGGGGCAGTGTTTGGGTCATTTGCGTGCAATTTAAAATGCTCTAGGAGCAGTAGTGACCAGGAGTGTGGAAACTGAGGTGTGGCCCCTCAGTAAGGGTGTGGCATGGTAAGTAGCAGGTGTGGGGAAATGGGGAGTGCAGTGGGGGTGTGGCACAACAGGGATCTGTGGTATGTCAGTTCATGTGGCAGTTAGCACAGCTGGGGCACAGCCATCCTCCTGGTGATGGGTTGTATGGTAGTCTGGTATGGTATTTCAGCTGTGTTTTTTTGTTGTCATTCCCTGTACCCCTCCTTTACTAGATCCAGTACTGATTTACAAATGGTCAAAAGCTGTTGCTGCTGCCAGCAAGGGTTTGCTAACGTAGACAGAACTCCCCCAAGAGGGAAGCAGGTGTCCTGGCCACTGGCTGCAGGGAGTATCTGAGCCTGGTGTTAGTACCAGAGGATGGTGCAAAAAAAAAAAAACAAACCAAACCTGCTTATGGTGTAAGCAGGTGAGTGATTTGCTCTGTCTGGGGGCAGAGCTTAAAAAAGATGTGGAAGGGCCCACAGAGTATTTGTGGAAGCAGAAGAGAAATAGACGGGGGGAGTTACACCCTTCCAACTGTAAGACAAGGTCTGCAGATGTCAGAGTAGCTCTGCCCCTTTTGCTGCCAGGCAGGAGGAGGAGACCTAGTAGATGGGGGGAATAAATAGGTCCCTCCTAACCCCCACTGCCTTCCCAGGTGCTCTTACAGAATAGGTATGAGACCCTGGATCCAGAGGATCAGGCAGATGATACTAAAGAAAAAAATCCATCTGGAGGGTCCTCCAGTTGTACTTTGTCAGATGGATCACAGCTTCAGGTCTTAAGAAGAAAGGAAGGGTGGTTGTAGTAGTTGACTCCTTTTTAAGGGGAACTGGGGGCCCTGTCTGTTGACTGGACCCACTCCCTGGGGCCCAGCTGCAGGATATCAGCAGCAGACTCCCTTAACTAATTCAGGCCTCTGATTATGAACCGCTGTTGGTGTCCAAGTCTGCCGTGATGACGTTGACAGGAAGGGCACCGGTGCTATTAAAGAGGACTTCAAGGCTCCGGCTTAACTGGTTCATGGGACAGGAGTGCAGGTGATGTTCTGCTCTGTTTGTTCAGTAGTAGGGATGAATGATGAAAGGAACAGGAGAGCCCACATTATCAGTAACTGGCTTAAGTGCTGGTGCCATCAGGGAGTTTTGGTTTTTCTGATTATGGGGCAATTTTCACAGCAGCAGGCCTGTTTGAGTCAGGTAGGCTCCATCTGTCTAACAAGGATTCTATGCCAGAGTTGTCAGGGCTGATTGAGAGAGCTTTAAAATAGGTTTGAAGCGGGAAGGAGATGAAACAAGGCTTTCTAGAAAGGAGGCTAAGGGTGATCAGCCAGTGTCAGCAGTGAAACCAAGCCCAGCTGAAGTGCCTGCAGACAGATGCATGCAGCATGGGTAACAAGAGGAGCTGGAAGCCATTGTACAGAAGGAAGACTGATGTAGTAGCTGTCATGGAAGTGTGGTGGAATGACTTACACGATTGGAGTGCTGCAGTGGATGTCTCTTGCTCTTCAGAAGGGACTGGCAAGGGAGAAGAGGTGGAGGGGTCACTTGGTATTTTAGAGAGGGTCTCAACACTGCACAATGTATGATTAATGATAATAAGGTTGCATCCCTATGGGCAAGGATCAGCAAAGGGCCAACAAGGCTGACATCCTGGTGGGTGTCTTCCAGACCACCTAACCAGGATAAAGTGATGAATGAATTACTGTGTAAGTAGCTGGAGGGTGTTCAAGGTCTTTAAGCCCTTGTTCATGTAGGAGAGTTTAACGTACCAAGTAATGTGCTGGGAACTCAACACAGTGGAGAAGATGGAGTCTGGGAGCTTCTTGGAGTGTATGGAGGACAGCTTCTTGCCGCATCTGGGGAACTATAAGCCTGCTCTCGATGCCCAGCAAGATTATGGGACAGATAATCTTGAGTGTGATCACCTGGTACATACAATATGGCCAAGGGACCAGACACAGCCAGTGTGGATTTTGGAGTGGCATGTCCTGCCTGACCAATGTGATCTCCTTTTGTGACCAAGTGACCCACCTAGTGGATGTATGGAGTGCTGTGGATGTTGTCTACGTCGACTTTAGCAAAACCTTTGACACCATCTCCCATAGCATACACCTGGAAAAGCTGTCAGCTTATAGCTTGTACCATGTGCTGGGTTAGCAACTGGCTAGACAGCTGGGCCCAGAGAGTTGTGAATGGTGCTGCATCCAGTTGGTGAGCAGTTACTTGTTGTGTCCCCCAGGGATCTGTGTTTGGCCCAGTCCTGTTTATATTTTTACTGATGATCTGGATGAGGGGATTAATGTGCCATTAGCAAATTTGCAGATGACAGTAAGTTGAGGGTGTGTTGATCTGCTGGAGTGCAGGAAGGCTCTGCAGAGGGATCCAAACAGGCTGGATTAATGGGCTGAAGCCAGTGATGTGCTGCCCAAGTCCAAGTGCTGGGTCCTGCCCTTGCATCACAACAATGCCCTGCAGCACTACAGGATGAGGCAAAGTGGCTGGACAGCAGACAGGCAGAAAGGGACCTGAGGGTGCTGAACAGCCAGCTGAACATCAACCAGTGTGGTCAAGAAGGCCAATGGCATCGTGGTCTGGATCAGCAGGAGGGCCAGGACTGTGATTGTCCCCCATACCTGGTACTGGTTAGGCTGCACCTTGAGTGCTGTGTCCAATTCTGGGCCTCTCAGTTTAGGAAGGGCCTTGAGATGCTGGAGCAAGTCTAAAAAAGGGCAACAAGGCTGATGAAGGGTCTGGAGCACAGGTCCTGGAGGGAGCTGTGATAAGGCTGGAGAAAAGGAGGCTTTGGGGAGACCTTATCATTCTCTACAACTGCCTGAAAGGAGGTTGTAGGCAGGTGGGGATCAGCCTGTGTTCCCAGGCAACTAGTGACTAGAGAAGAGGAAATAGTCTTAAGCTATACCAGGGGAGGTTTAGGCTGGACATCACTAAGAAGTTCTTCACAAAAAGGGTGATAAGGCATTGAAATGGACTGCCCAGGGAGGTGGTGGTGTTAGTGTTTAGGAAAGGAGATGTTTAGGAAAAGGCTGGACATGGCATTCAGTGCCATGGTTTTGTTTATGAGGTTGTGTTCGTTCATAGGTTAAACTTGATGATCTCAAAGGTCTTTTGTTTCTGTGATTTCCAACCTAGTTGATTCTGTGATTTCTGTAGTTTTATGCTCTATGTGCACTACACTCTGTGTTACAGGTACTAAAAATGGACAAAGGGGTATACCTCAGTCTGGAACGCTCAGCTTTAGAGAAAGAGGAACTCTTGCAGGTGGTGCAGGTGAGACTTTTTAGTAGTGGGGGTGAACTGTACAGATTTCCTTATTGGTGAGTTGTGGGAGTGTAGCTAATTGTTAGCTTGATTGGGACTTTGAGCAACCTGATCTAGTGGGTGGCAACACTGCATATAGCAGGGAGGTTGTAACTAGGTGACCTTTAAGGTCCCTACCAGCCCACTCTGTTCTCTCATTACTATGCATTTTCAGAAGTGCTCCTTGATATCTGAAGAACAGTTGATTTGACTGTATTTGGTTCAAATAATGATTTTATTAAGTGTTGCAGAGGCACTGTGGTAATACCCATTAAGGACATAAACAGCATCCTTAATACATGATAGCAGTTCATTTCTGTTAAAAAACAAGTTGCCTTTTTTGCAAAACCAGCACTGTTTCTAAGTTCTAAAAATTTCACCATTTTCTCACCTTTTGGACTGAATCCCATTATGATAGGGGAATGCTAGACTTGTTTCACGAAGCAAGACAGCAGCACTTTGATGGGGGGCATTGATGACAAGCAGTTTTAATGTAGACCTGTAGCAGCAATTGTGAAGTAACTTGCAAGCAATATTTAATGTCTGTTGTATTTATGGATACTTTTGCGTGTCAGCCTTTAAGATGTAGTTTTTGTTTGTTGATGTGGAAAAACCAGACTGACTGATGTACTGGTGTCATGGTTTGACGGTCAATCCATGACAACTGGGGTACACCAGGCATTGGTGGAGCGGAAGATGCTGTACTAGGAGAACTTCATGGTGCCCTGTAACAGATGACACTCTTTTATTTTTGCGTTATGATAGAACAGCTGAATGCTTTCTGGCAAAAAAGTATCTCTTGTTGTTATTTTTTTTTCATCTATTTAGGAAAATCACTGTGTTATATTATGCTTTTTATATGAATAAAATAAGGAGTGAGAAGAGCAGTTACCAGATATAAGGGGCTTGACCTGCACATCAGAATTAGGCAAAGTTCAGTGATTGTGTGCTATGCTGTACTGCAGGTTTTCAAGAAGGAATTGAAGAAGATGCCACTATGCAAAACAGAGGGTTTAAAGGATTTGGGCAAGGTGAGTGCAAGTTTGTTGCATTGACTGGTTTGTATGATGCCAGCATACTGGCCATTCTTTCTGGCTTTGCTCATTCCTTGAGAGTGAGCAGTCAAGAGTGAAAGCATTGAAATGACTTTTCTTCATCCAGACAAAAGGCACTTGATGTGCTGATGCAGTTGCTGTGTGCTATGCTGTGTTATTGCAGGTTTTCAAGAACGAAATGCTGTAGATGGTGCTGGTACAGAAAACAGGGGGTTTAAAGGATTTCGTGGTGGCTTTGGACAAGGTGAGAATAAGCTTGATGGTTTGGTGTTTTTTGCATCCTGAGTGGTTTGTATGGGTGCAGTGTATGGTTGGTGATCCTCCTGGGTTTTTTTGCTCCCTGAGAGCTACCATGGTAGAACTGAGAACTCCTGCTGCTACTTCTGTTCTTCAGCTGTGTTGTGGAATATGAATGGTCTCCTTAAAAAATGAGTATTACTGGGTAGAATATGGTATAGGTTGGAGTTAATGAAGAAGTTGTTGGGAGTGTTGCTCTGCAGATTTGTTGGAGTAAATAGTACTGGCTTCCATTTTGGTATTTCATGATACTAATTTTATACTCTCTGTGTGCTACTTATCTGTTACAGGTGCTCGAGGTAGGCAAAGGGACATACCTCAGTCTGGAACTCCTGGTTCTAGAGAAAGAGGAATACTCACAGATGGTGCAGGTGAGGCTTTTTAGTGGCAGGAGTGAGCTGTACAGATTTCCTCGTTGGTGATCAGTGACAAAACAGTTCCTTCTTAATTCTGGCAAATACTGTCACTAATTTTTCTCCCTATTAAGAACCTTCCTCAAATGCTAGGTATCTTGGTTGTATGCCTGGAAAAGACATTGTAACTCATTTGAATTTCAGTTACTGGCTTTTCAAAGCTGTAGTGTTACATAATCTTTTTCTTTGTTGTGCTGAGGTTGGTTCAGTTTATGCACAGTGAAGCAGAGGTGCTAACCCCAAAAGTGAAAGTAAGCTTTAAAGAACTTGTTAAGTTTTGAAAGAGTTGATCTAGACTTTTACCCTTGTGCCCTGTGTAAGGGGAAATATTTTGTTGTCAGCACTGACAAGTAAGGTGTATAGCTCTGACAGGCCACTTACTCCTGATTTAACTTCATTTTAATGTTGGGAGTTTTTCCCCCGTAGTCCTGCTGTATTCTTCTGCCTGTGGTGCTACTGTACCTGGCAACATATATGTTGTCTTACCTAGAGCATAGTAATATATTATTCACAGAAGTACCATACTTCAAATAAGGAGTGGGATTAAACCAGTGTAATGGTCAGTGGAGGGCTGATATTCTCCATGTAAGAGCATTTTGTGTGATAACTGTAAAAAACAGTAATTTTCATTGTAGAAAAGATAACAGTAAAGTAATTTTCATTGTAGAAAAGATGGCTAAATGGCTTTTTACTCAGAGGGCGAGTTGCAGTGAAGCATTGGAGCAGGTTGATCAGAGAGTCTGTGGATGCTTCTTCCCTGGAAGTGTTCAAGGCCACATTCAGTTGGGCTTTGAGCAATGTGGTCTAGTGGAAGATGTCCATCCTGTGGCATGGGGGTTGGAAATGGATCATCTTCAAGGTTCCTTCCAACTCAAACCATTCTGTGATCCAGTGATTAGTATACGTGTTCAGAAGTGATACTTAATATCTGAAGAACAATTGATTTGCCTCTATTTGACTCTGTTCAACTAATTTTTTTTTTCAGATTTTTAGTTCAAATAATGATTTTTAGGAATTGAAATCTTTATAGAGGCAATAAGCTAGTGCTTATAGAGGACATAACTGCATCATTAATACAGAATAGTAATTCCTTTTTCATTACTACAGTCTGAAGTATTAGCGTGTTAAAAACTGTTCTGAGTACTTGTATGCAACAGTTGCATCTATCTGTACAGAATTTCATGTGGAAAGAGTTCTTCAGAAAGAGTAATTTGTTGTGTGGGAAGCATGTGAGTAATTTGTTGTGTCGTAAGAGCATGTGTCTGTCTTTATGATGAAGAAGAGTCTAATTTAATTTTTGTGAGTACCTCTTGAAAGTGGGGTCCTTGAGTGAATGTGAGACATGAATGCTTTACAAGTCTGACTTCATATGGAGGTAGATTTTAGGTCTCATAGTATAAAATCAGGTTCTGAGGAATAAAGGTATGGAATTGTGATGCCTTCTTGAAAAATGGAGAGACATCCAGATGCCATCTCACTGAATTTATCTTCAATAGCTTCATCTTAAAATACTTTTATTTTAACTTCTCCTTATATTGTTTGTGAACTTAAGGTCCAAAGGTGACTTATGTGCCCCCTCCTCCACCTGATGATGAGCAAGCCATCTTTGCACATTACCAGACAGGAATGAATTTTGACAAGTATGATGAAAATGTTGTTGAAGTGTCAGGACTGGACCCTCCAGCAGCATTAATGGTCAGTGAGTTGGTTATTCTCACAGTTTGTGTGAAGCATGATTTATAAGGATGTGTAGTGGGTTCAATATTTGCAGCTAATGAAAATACTAATAAAGAATACCAAATCTTGCAGATAGTGTGATGTTGGGAGGAGGTGCTCCCCATTTGAAAGGTAAAAATTTGATTTCACAGTACCTTAACAAACTACCTAAGTGGTATAGAGGAAGTAATACTGGCTATATAGGAAGAATAGCCATTACGTTGTGGAAGAATACCAGTTTAGATATTGAAAGAAAGAGGTCTTTTGCAGCAGTTTCTGACCAGACTGGTATAATTACCTTATTGAAGTCAGTTACTGGGGGATCTTCAAAAATGTAAATGAATGCCAGTTGGGGTAGTAAGTGTATAGAAAGAGGGGTGTTTTAAAGTAATTTGTAGCCTTGTTCTCTGTGGTTGCAGTTCACTGTTATAACATATAACTTAGTTTTTTATCTATAATGGCTGGCCAATTTTAAAAGAAAAAAGTTCTTTTTAGGGGAAAGAATGAGAAGTGGAGAGGGGTTAGTGTTACCTGTGTTGAAAGAGAAGATGCAGAGGTGTTCCCACTGAAGTTAAACTGATTTTTGTCACCTGTGTTACTTTTTGGTCCTGGCTAGGAATGTTGTTATATCTACCCTTACTGGTTTAGCACAGAGACAATGTTTAGCTCCTACATGAAATGAAACTACAGAGTTTGAGGTTTTTTTCATAGCATGCTATGTGAATTTACTTGCTTGTATCCAGGTGTATGACTTCTGAGCAATTCTCTCTTAAAACTAATAAGACCAGTGTTCACTGTCCTGCAGACAATGTTACTTGAATGGCATGAGCAGATTTTAGAGACCTTTGGGGCTTTTACCTTTAGGAGCCTTGGCAAATGACTGGTGAGACAACTTCTAAAATTAACACTCTTTAGTATTTGCATGTCTCTATCATACAGTAAGCATTTTGGGTTTTAAACTTTTTGCATTCTGTGATTGTGTAATAACTGTTAATAATTTCTTCTGTTACAGAGTTTTGCCGACACTAACATGTGTCATACTTTAACTGTGAACATTGCTAAAGCTGGATACTCCAAACCTACTCCAGTGCAGAAGTACAGCATTCCTATTATACTGGCGGGACGGGATTTAATGGCATGTGCCCAGACAGGATCAGGAAAAACTGTAAGCATTTTGTGCAGTATTTGACCATGAGCTTCCAGTGGGATGCCTCATTCTTCCGTGTCACATGCTTGACTTCTTCGTGGCCATTAATTTCACTTGTGCAGCAGTGGCAGGTATCAGGTACAGATATGAATGATGATAGGGTTGTCACATTTTGGGCTTTATTCCTTATTTCAGTAAACTAGTATTTTGGTACAAGCAGACCAGCCTTCAGAGATACAGCTGTGGATTCAATAGTATAGGCAGGCAGTCCTAGAAACTGCTGATGACAGGACTCAGCAGTTGAAAGTAAGGACTTCTGTGTTGTGTGGAGTTGCGTCTTAGTGGCATTTGTTTGGTTTTGGTTTTTTGTTGGCAGCTATTTTTGGTGGTTATTTGTGGTTTTGGTTTTCTGTATATTTTTTTGTTTGTTTGATTTTTGTTTTGTGTGTGTTTATTTCTTTATTTTTCTGTTGTGTGTGTATGAGTTTTGTGTGTGTTTTGGTTTTGTTTTTTTTTTTCAAACTTAACGCTGAGTGTAACTGTGGTGTGCAGGTTTCTTGTACTTAGTTTGATGGAATCTGATATGCACCTGTCTTGATTTTAGGTGATTTGCTTTTAATCATGGAACAGTGTTGAGAGTTGCTACTAAGCTGAAAATTGTCTCAGCTTTTTAAACTCGTGTACCCAAACCTAATGACTGACAGACTGGTGGATGTAGATGTTTGGTTATGAAGTGTAGCTTTTTGCTGTTTAGTTTAGTGTGGAATCCTAGACTAGTTTTAAGGTAGCTTGCTAGTTCTTTTGGAAAACCCCTTCTGTTTGCAGACAGGGGAACATCCAAAGTCTGTGCTGTAAATATTCTGAGTGTTTTTGGGACTGCTGTACAGATGCAGGTTTGTGGGTATCTAGTCTTACGGGGAAGTAAGTGTGCTGGTGTGGTGCAGCTGTGTTGCAAGCTGATCAGCCGTTCTAGTAGGTTTTGGTCTTGGGTTACTTAATTATCAGGGTATGTCATCAGTGTGTGGAACTGTATGGAAAGTTAGGCACTGCAGGATTGTTATGTTACTAGACTGTTAGGATCTAGAGATATACTTTCATACTGGTTAACAAGGAGAAAAGAGCTTAAATGTTGTCTTGTGCATTCAGGTCAATCCTTTTGCAGTCTGATGTCCTTGATTATTGTGTACACTGTCATTCAAGCTTTAAGATCGATACACAGATTTTAATGTGACTTATGAAAGCTTTTAAGACTAAGCAACCCAAATACTGCTGTGGTTTTTCCCTCCAGGCAGCGTTTCTTGTACCAATTGTTGCCCAAATGATGAGGGATGGTGTAACTGCCAGTAGCTTTAAAGAGCAGCAAGAACCGGAATGTATTATTATTGCCCCAACTAGAGAACTGATTAATCAGATCTTCCTAGAAGCAAGAAAATTCGTGTATGGGTAAGCTTTTTGCACTGTTGCCTGGTATTGATGATTACTTCAATCAGCAGTGCTTTATTTTTTTCATAAATACTTGCAAATTTTTTTTTGTGCCAATCAAATTACAAACACTTGCATTTAGATTATAATGAGTTCACATTATAGTACTGCTTAGCAGGTTTCTTACTATATGACTAGGGATTTAATTGCCTAATCTTTCTGATACTGGGGTGGGTGAATGGAATACTTACTCCAGCTTGAAGAGAAGTATTTAGCTTACTACTGATGAGAAAAGTGAAGTTTCTTAAAGACTTGCTAAGAAAGTTTTCCTGTCTGAGCATCCAGGAGCCTCTCTGGCAGTCACTGACACCACCAGGGACTTCAGCTATTGGGACCAAAGTCCCTTTTGCAGCAGGTGGCTCTAGTGAGCTGCTCGTTGCCCGACTTAACTTCCGACACACACCACTCAGAGAGTCAGATGAGGTTTCCTCACTGACTTGACCCCAGGTTTCCCATAGCAGAATCTCAGACCTCTATTTCTTTCAAGTAATTTCATTGTTTTGCAGCAACGTGTAACAGCTCAGAGTGTCTCCTGAAGGGACCCCTGAACAGTGGAATCACTGGGCTTTTATATGATGACAGTTTATGTATCTAATATTTTGAGATCTTTTTACTAAGTTATTTGCTCCTGCAGAGTCTGAGCATCAGGTGACCTGGCTAGTGGTGCAGGTCCATGTGCCCTTTGTTAAGTAAAGGGTCAGTGCCAGTTCATGGTCTTTTGCCTGAGCTCCAGTGATTTCTTGCCACCAGGCATCGGTCAGCTGCTTGCACTGCAGCTGCACACTGAGCTACCTGCACTAGATGTATTCAATATGAGGAAACTTACTAGCATATCTTAAGCAATTTATACTTGCTTTACTTTGATCTTGGCAAAATGGAGATGAGTGTGGTTTAGTTAATTTGTTTTAGTTAATTTCCAGTGATGGTTTCTAATTACTCCTGTTTCCTGGTGTTTCTGGGGTTAGACAGACATGTCAGAGCTCAAAGAAAAAGCTCTTTGAGCTTTCGAAACAGAACGAGAGACCTAAACTTCTCACTAAGTCCTTGAATGTGTGAGAGTACATTTTTACTAGATTTGTCAATAATCTTTTTACTAAGTAATAGGTTTTACCAGTGTACAGAAGAGAACTAAATCTGTGTTATGTAACAGTTTATTACTGTTTGGAGGTGAAATGCAGAACATCATCACTGTAGAATCTGGTGGGATAAATCATACTTGCCTTTATTCAAGCCAACTTACACTTGGAAGCTGTCTTCAGGAAGAATGATCATTTTTGCATATCTACTTAATAAATAGGTTCTTAAGAACAGCTTCTTAATCTCTAAAACTGTTGTATAACTTTGTAGCTGGTTCTGGTTTTATGCTGTCTTAAACTAGATACAGATTAATTAATCATAAAATAACATTTGAATCTAGAAAGCTTTTCTTACAGCTGGCTTGTACTAAAAATGAGAACAAGTTAAATGATATCAGGATGTGGATCTGTAGTATCTAAAGAAGAGCTTGTGTATTGATCAGTTGAGATTTATGATCTTAGGCCGTTTGATTTAATTTGCAAATAGGAGTATGAAATATGTATGTATACGAATAATGGATAAATACTGAAATTGTGGGATTCCAGAGGGAATTTCTATTCTTGACTAAAGCTTTCTGAAAAGTTGTGTTTAACTTTGGTAAAAATTTACCAGATTTACCTGATCGCCATTGTTGCGTTATGAAGCTGAATTAATATCTTCAGTAAAAGACCATTTGAATTTGGGTGTGAAAATACTCATTGCACTTAAAGATCTTAGCAGAAGGTTATAAAGACGAGCTAAACATAATTCAGAGCTGCATAAGGTAATTCTTGCTTAGAGAAACAGTTTTCTACAGAGGAGTTTCTGATGTAGCTACTTGGCAGATCTAACCAAAGAGCATGGTGGGAAGGGCAGAGTAGTATAGTCTTTGGGTGGATTTGCTGTCTAATCCTTGAGTCACACACTGTATGGCCAATGTGATTAGCTGCTTTACAAAGATGCCATGTGTGTACTTACTGTTTTGCCCCTTTTAAGGTCTGCAAAGATTACTTCTGAAGCTCTGAGGCATATGTAGTGGTGGTTTTGCTTTTTCTGAGGATGCTGTATAAAAGGGGACAAAGTCTTTTGACTGTTACTGTTAGTAGGTCTCAGTTGAAGAGAGGGGAGAACGCAGGTGAAATGAAGTGTTTGTTCCTAGTAGGCCACTTCGGCAGCCTCTGTTATGTAGTATGTGGGGAACTTTAAGCTTTCTCGGAGTGGGTTTCTGGTTTTGAGCACTGTTTTTGGATGGAGCTGTATGCTGGAGGAGTTAAACCACTCTTAAACTGATTTGTGGTAGATCCGATTATTTTATATGAACTTGCATTAAACAATACTGTTTGCATACTTACATAATTAATGCAAATCTTTTTCTACATAACAGAACTTGTATAAGGCCTGTTGTGATCTACGGAGGTACACAAACAGACTATTCGATTCGTCAGGTAAAGCAAGGCTGTAATATACTGTGTGCCACTCCAGGAAGGCTTCTAGACATCATTGGAAGAGGAAAGGTAACATCTTAATGCTTCATCTAAATACCCTTAACTAAAAGACAAAATACTATTTTTTGTTCCTTAAAATTAATAGAAGAGATTGGTTTTTAATGGCTCTGTCAGTATGCTGCCTTTGTACAGGCACTGAAATACAAGTGAATTCCATGAAGTTTATGAAGGAGTAGCCCAGTCCAGATCTCTTCAGTTCCTTTCGGAGACAGCTGGATAATATCAGTGTAAATCAAATAAATACCTGGAACACTTTCACGTAGTTCTTGTGACATATTCCATAGTAGATCTTCACTTATGTCCTGTTTGTTTTGCTGCAGTGGCTTTTTATCCGTCTTGCACTGTATTTTCATACTGATCCAAAATACAAACTGCAGGTTATATAGTACTATATTTGAATTTATATTTCCCCCAGTTATTATAATTCATATTAAAATTTTTACGTGTTAGTGTGGTGACTCTGATATTCACTGTACAGAGTTTGGAAAAACACTTGGTTGTAAACTGAAGATGAGTTTTCTGCAGTGGTCAGGCTTTTAGTCAAAAGTGATAATCTTGTTCATCAAGGGTAAAGTTGTGATATTCTTAATAATGCTTTCTGACATAATTCTTTTACAGAAAAATAAAAAAGGTTTTTGAGAATGTTTGAGGGTTATGAGAGAACCTTTCTAAAACTCAAAGCATAATTCCAAAATAGATGGGCTGAATTATAGTTGGTCTCTTAAGCTCTGTGTTTACATTGCTGAACCAGTTTCTGAAGCACTGTGGTGTGTGAATTTGTGCAGATTAAAAGGCTGAGTAGAGGTTGAGATGTAAACAAATCAAAATACTTTCACTTTTTATTAACTTGAAATAAATAAAAGATGGATTTTTGCAATTAGGCTATTTTTTAAGTGCATACTGTCAGTGAACCAATAGTATTTTTCTTTGACTGTAATAATTGCAGATTGGTTTGCATAATGTGAAATACTTGGTGCTAGATGAAGCAGACCGCATGCTTGATATGGGTTTTGGTGCAGATATGAAGAAGTTGGTATCTTTCCCAGACATACCACAAAAAGACCAACGCCAAACACTAATGTTTAGTGCCACTTTCCCTGAAGAAGTTCAGAGGTGAGTAGAATAAAAATAGAAATAAATCTGAAGATACACTTGTATAGAACTAAATATCTGAAGAGTTAAGAACACTCCTTATTTTTAAAAGCTTGAAAATACTGAAAACTGTGATATTAATATTTGTTGCTTAATTTAAGCAGGTACTTTAAAACATTAACTGCTTAATTTAGGTGGGGACTCCTAATCAATTTAGAAAGTTATCTGAAGGCTTTTAAATTTTACTTCTGCAGAAGTACTCATGTTGCCCCTGTTGGTTTCTTATTCCTCCCCCACCACATCTGTGCAAGCTCAAAACCAGTGATGTTGCTGATAACACCATCATTGACTAATGAGGCTTGGCAATTACTGCTCAGCTTACCAGTGTTCATAGTACTCAATTCTTATGTAGATAATTGGTATTTATTTTCAGTAGTTTAAAAGCTTCTACAGATGGGCCTTATGATACATCTTACATGTTTACTACTCACTACCTTTAAAGTTCCTCTCACTTAAGGGAACAGTCTTCAACACATGGTAACTATGGTTGCTGAGTAACAGAACAAAACAACTAATTCTCAATTTCTTCTGCTTTTTGAGACACCAGCATCTAAATATTCCGTGTTAAATCAGAAGTCTCTAAACTTCAGTTGAAGCAGTGCAAATAATTTTGATGACTTCTGTGGTAGGGACACTGTTATAAAGAGTGTTGGTAATGCAGTGAGTCAAATCCAAAATTACCTTTGGTCCCAAAAAGTCTGAAAGATCTTTTGAGGAGGGAGAAAATACTTCTCAGTAGTTTGCTGTCCTGAATGAAAGAGGGGAATGTGCTGCTTTCTCCCATTCAGTCAGGTAGTGCTTACCACTGATTTGGAAATGTATCACCTTTCTTAAAGCAGGACTCACCTATTGTGGCTTTGGTTCCTTGTCCAGACTTTTTTCATAGGGTTCTTTGTGTGGAAGAATAATCTTGTGGTGAACTAAAAATGACCTTGTTTGCTTAGCTGATAATCAAGCATTCAGATGGTACTGTACACAAGTATAGTTTCTGTTCCACATGTTTACCTGTTTCTGCAAGAATGTGGTCTCTCTTCTCAGTGTATCCTGGGAAAAGACCAGGTGTGTGTATCTCCCTGTAAGATACACAGTGTGTGCTGATTCACTCAGGTTTTGGGTTTGAAAGAAGAATCTCTAGGCCTGTTTTTATCATTGTGGTTTTGCTGGCGCTTTTGCTATGTATTTTTCTTGCATACTGAGGGATGAATCAAGAGTACTGTAACTACCAGCAACTGAAGAGAGATTCCTTGAATTCCTTGTTGAAGATATTTACTGTCTGCTCCTGTTAAATGAAAAGACCCCAACAGACCTACCTTTCTACTGTCAGTCCTGCAGGATGGTGGAAGACTTCAGAAACATGAGATCATGGTTTAGAAGTGCATAAAAACATTAGAGTCCTAGAAGCATTTAGGCTGGAAAAGACCCATAAGCTGATTAAGTCTAACCATTAACCCAGCACCAGCAAGTGAACCACTAAACCAATGCCTCAAGTGCCACATACACACATCTTTTAAGTACCTTCTGGGGTGGTGATGCCACTGTTTTCCAGGCCAGCCTGGTCCAATGCTTGAAAATTCTTTCAGTGAAGATTTTTTTCATAATAGCTGCTCTAACCCCCCATGTGCAGCTTTGAGGCATTTTTCTTTTGCCCCTGTTCTTCTTGTAACCTTTTGAAACAGAAATGCCTAAAGGTAAAGTTGACATTTTAGAGTGTGAAAACCCTTGTTTTCTAGAGTCAGTTAATTCCCGGACTTAATGCTTTCCTGATGCTGGAGTCAGGAAAGCTAATGATTCCCCATACTGTGCTATCAGGAGAACTTTTAACAGTGTACTGTTTTGGTAGTGTGGGACACAAAGATGCTTTCTTTGGACCTCTTGGGTTCAGATCATCCTGTGTTTCTTTTAAGTGACTGTATTCAGATTTAGTTTTAACATAACATTTGGTTTTATACCTGAACTTGTTTCTGCTGTTACATAGACCTTTGATCTGATACTTGAAGCTCTTTCTGTACATGCGAGTTGAGAGAACCGTGCATTTTTCTAGTTGACTGGAGAACTTTAATTTAGCATTTGAGTCTTTATATCTTCCACTAAAAGGCTGTGGTTTAATCCCAGCTAGCAACTAAGTACTGTGTAGCTGCTTACTCTAGAAGGCTACTCCAGCGTCTCCCTGAAGCCTTCTCTGCCCCAGGCTGAAGAACCCCACCTCTTGCAGTCTGTCTTCATAGGAGAGAGGTGCTCCAGGTCTGTTACCAGGTTAGTGGCCTCCATGAACTCATTCCAACAGGTCCATATCTTTCGTATATTGGGGAGCCCAGAGCTGAACACAGGTCTCAGAATATCAGATCAGAGGGGCAGAATTGCCTCCCTGACCCTGCCAGCCACATTGCTTTGGATGCAGCCCAGGGCACAGTTGGCTTTCTGGGCTGCAAGTGCATCTTGCTGGGTCATGTCCTGCCCCTCATCCACCAGCCCCCCCAAGTCTTTCCCTCCAGGTCTAGTCTGGATCCATTCTCTGTCCGGCCTGTACTTGTCCTATCCTATCAGCCTGTGTAAAAAGTTTGTCTCAGTCTTTTTTTCTAAATCCCCTTTAGGTACTGGAAGGCTGCGATAAGGTTATTCCAGGCTTAATCCCTGCTCCTCAACTCTCTCAGCTTGTCTTCAGAGGAGAAGTGTTCCAGCCCTCTGATCATCCTTGTGGCCTCTCTGAATCTTCTCTGACATGTGTGTCTTTTGCTGAAGATACCACAGCTGGATGCAGTACTCCAGCTGAGGTCTTAAAAAGGCAGAGATAGAATCATTTGGCCTGCTGGTCACACTTCACACAGCCCAGGATGGGGTTTGTGTGCTGGACCAAACTGTGTAGACTTTTCTGGCTTTTTAAAAATGTATATAAGACTACTTGTATTGTTCCTCACAAAATGGAGGATAAAAATATTTTTTGTACATGTTGCTTAAACATAAAGGAAAGTACATACTTTTAAAGCAAGAATAATTACATAACATTTTTCATGTTGCTAAATTTTGTCTCTTTCAGGCTAGCTTGTGAATTTTTGAAAACTGATTTTTTATTTGTTGTTGTTGGACATGCGGGTGGAGCATGCAGTGATGTTCAGCAAAATATTCTTCAAGTTTCTCAGTCTTTCAAGAGAGACAAGCTGATAGAAATTCTACGCAGCATAGGTAATTTTATTTAATGCCAGTTGTTCACCAGAGAAGTCAAACTTGCTTGGCTTTAAACTTGCATTTGAAAGGTCATGGCTATATGATTTTGTTGTGTGCTTTACAAGACTGTTGATGAAGCTTGAAGCAGAACTTGGGGAGCTGCAGATTTTTAGGCATATTTGTGTAGAGGTATTTCATAGAGTTATAGGCTAGTTTGGGTTGGAAGGGACTTGTAGATGTCAGTGAATCTAGTCTAATGCCCAGTATTTGTCAATGTTTCATCTCTATTAAGTACTATCAGACAACCTTCCTACATGGTTTTCTACTTTATATGGTCAGTTACTTCAGCATCTGGGGATATTATCTCATGATTGCAGGTGTGTTAAAATTACTATGTGAATGTTTGGGCCTGTGTTTTAGTAGTGTCCGGGATTTTTCCATATTTGTTCTATATGTCTTAAGTTTTAATGCTGAAGACTGAATGTGAGTTTGGAATTAAAAAATGGTCTGTGGAATCTTGCTGTTCAGTGCTTAGGATAATGTACTGCTTTAGAAAGGAAATGCCTGCGTGTTGCAGGAAACAATGTTTGTTTTCTCTTTTTATTGAGGAGAAAAACAATGTATGTGTCTTCACTCAGTTTCTGTATTGATACAGAAATTGATGGATTGAATTTAATTAGCTCAGAATAGGCAAGAAATTACAGTCATACTTTAAAGACTTTATTCAAAATGTGTGCCTGCATTAGGTGTTAATATAGATAAGTGCTACTCTAAATAGTGAAAATGGCGTCATATTTCAAACTGCAGTGGCTTTAAACTTTTGTTTAACATAGGTAATGAACGAACCCTGGTCTTTGTGGACACCAAGAGAAAAGCAGACTTCATTGCATGCTTTCTTTGTCAAGAAAACATACCAGCCACTAGTATTCATGGGTAAGTATTTTTAAAATGAAAGTCACCTGTGTTTTAAGAACTTTTGTTGAGAACTCACATTTGGCCATGTCTGCGTAGTTTAGCTTGCCATGTGTTCTGACAGACACCAGAATATCAAGGTTGAAGAGCAGCTAAAATGATCTTAGCATATAGATGCAAGATGTTTGTGTATATCCTGTGGCTGTTGGATTTGTAGGTGTGTGAAAGCCATATAGCTTTTAAGATCTGGCCTTCCATTGCTGGTGTGCCTGAATTGCTAACCCACAACGCCCTTGTGTGGGAGGAGGTTCTTAATACATTTCTGTAGAATTACTGTAGTGTGAATTGAGGTAGAATATATGTAGAATATGTAGAAAACTGGTTCAATGGAAGCTGTTAAATTGTCATCAATGTTACTGGTTTCTGATTCATTTTACCTTTATGAGTTGAAGTCAGGATAGTTATTGTTCTCTGGAGTAGTGGTCATACCAGGCTTCACTAACTATTCCATGTTCAGATCCTAAAGAGCACTGGTTAGCTTTCGAACTTGTTTTCTTACTTGGACAATAAAGAACAGGAGTGATTTTCTGACCCACTGTAGTTCAATAGTGTATAATTTGTAAATATTCTTCAAATATGGAAACACTGGAGCAAATCTGGTTTTCTTGTCATGATGATGAACAGAAGAAAAATTCTGTACTGTTGACTGCACAGAGGTTTTTTAGTGTATCTGAAAAATGGCCTGTGCAGGGGTCTGTGTAGACTTTGTCTTTGCTATTCTGGCTCCCTGCTACAAAGCTATAGGAAATTGTAATCAATTAAGCAAATGGATTTTCTTAGAGAGGTAGTGAGTTTAATGTATAATTATATCCAGTTCTTTTAAAAAACCTTAATTTCTCTAAAGACCTAAGCTTAAACAGTTGTTCTGTCTTGCTGCTCTTCAGGTAAAAATTCAGAAAACTTAAACTGGGCAGTGTATGAGTTGTTCGGGTGTTTTGTTGTTTTGCATCTGTTGTTGCCCCCCCCCCCCCCCCCCCAAGAGCTTCTTTCCATGAAACATGATATTTATATGACATTTAAATTATATCTTAAATAATACTATCCATTTTAGAGATATCCATTCTCACGCTTGCTTTCTTTATAGAGATAGAGAACAGAGAGAGAGAGAAATAGCACTTCGGGATTTTCGTTCTGGAAAATGTCTAGTTCTTGTGGCAACATCAGTGGCAGCAAGAGGTCTGGACATTGAAAACGTTCAGCATGTTATTAATTTTGATCTTCCTTCCACCATTGAAGACTATGTACACCGAATTGGGCGAACTGGTCGTTGTGGAAATACAGGGAAAGCGGTTGGCTTCTTTGATAACAATTCAGATGGTCATCTTGCACAGCCTCTAATTAAAGTGCTTTCAGATGTAAGTTTTAGATCTTAGTGCTGAACTTTTTCTGTTCTTTAAGATTTCACTTGAATGTACTGAACAACTGTGACATATTTGGTACAGTTATGGAACTCGTAATCTGAATTGGTAAAGCAGTCAAAGTCTCTGAATTGATTTTCCTAATTGCATAGGCTCAGCAGGAAGTTCCTGTTTGGTTGACAGAAGTTGCTTTTGAGGCTGCAGGAGGGCGACTCCCAGTTCATACCCAAAAGGTAGGTCTGGAAATTAACTGGAAGTCTTGGCTATTAGAACTTTGTCTCAGACAGTTTAAAACTGTCTTTAGTGGTATATATCCAGAGTAATGCCACTGACACTGTTTTGACTTAGTTTTCTTAGTTGTGCATCTTCAAAGAATTCAGTACTACTGAAACTAATTTCAGACAAATTGCTTGACTTGGGCTCTTAGAGTGTGGCCTCCTTACTAGCTGCTGTAGTCTTGATCTGTAAAGTCAGGATTCCTCTGGAAGAAACATTCATGCAAACATAAACAAAAGATGTAGTTCGGAAAATTCTGTGCTACACATGTAGGGTGGGAGCTAATAGTTCCTGATTATACAGTTACTGCTTGTTATGAATCACCTAGTCAAGCAACTCAGTTGACTGAAAACTTCAGATAATTCTAGTTAGGTAAATGCCCCAGTGTGGTCTGTGTCAAAATTCTTAATGTCTGTGGCAAAGAGAAGCCTTCTAGTGTCTTGCTGGTGGTAATTTTACATTCTGTGCTTAATCCTGTTTGAAAGCCTTTCTTTCATGTCTTGATTCCATAAGAATTTTATTACAGATCAGTTGTTTCCAAATGTTACAAATGTACTTCCTTTGAGAGCATAGTAGAAATAACTGCTCTCAGTGCATACACAATGTCTGAAGCTTCACTTCAAGCTCTGACTTTCCTTTCATTAATTATCTTTTCCCATACCATAGTTATTGAAAGCTTTCAGTGGTTTGGATGTTTTTACCTGTCTGGCTAGTCCCCTTACTAGATCTGCATAATTTTTCTGGGGTGGGGGACTTCATGAGATGTCAGTTACACAAACGTCGTTTCCTTCTCAAACTCACAGCCTCACATTACAGCTGTTGTGTATGTTTGCACAAACCTTTTCTTGCAGAGTAATTCTTGACTCAGTGGATCTTTCTTGTTTATTCTAGTTCAAGGAAACTTTATTTTTGCTTTTTTACTAGATTGTTTCAGAGGTGGATCTCACTAGATTGCTTTCAAATGCATGTCTCCCGCCTTTTTGTAGTGTCTCCCAGCATTTAATGAAATCCATCATTTCTAGGTGTAAGTCCGTCCATGGCTTTCACAACCTCTGAGTAACCAAATTAGACTGTAACTCTTTGTCCAGGATAGAATAGATTTTCATGTGAAAACTGTCTGCTTGCATTGGCAATACTGCCCTTAGTATCACATACATACAGTGCACCAGTTCCTTGAGTTGAAGAATGTGAGGTTCCAATTATTATGAGACCTTCTCATGTCAGTCTGACAAACTCTTTATTTGTAATAAACCCCATTTTTCATTATAAGTCCATTTGATAATCAAATGATGAATTGGAAAGAGGAATCTGTTGAAGGATCTTAGGTGATTATTTTGAGACAGTCTTGGAGATTACTGAGCTTTAGTCTTTTTCCAAAGGAAAAAGGATTTTACTGGGAAGGTAATGCAGACAGTCATTCTTTAGTATGTAGTGGAAAAGGAAGTTTTTTTCCCACAATTGTATGAACTGATTTGTGTTGGGTAAGAAAAGAAAGAAGTTGAGATGTGAACTATGGGAAGTGTTATTCCCACATGTGATAAAATCTGAGGTTGGCTAAACTGCGGTAATTTCACACCAATGTAAAAAACCCCTTGTGTGTAGGAGATTAATGATGAAAACTTCCTGGGTGTTCAGATTACATTGAGATAGGTGCATGCAGAAGGCTAAAATTGTTTTGTGGTAACTTACCATTAAATGATTGAAAGTATTAATAATTCTAAACTAGAACCTGTTGTGTTTCCTAGAATTACAGAGGCAGAGGCAACATGAATGCGGGAGAAGTAAAGATGGACTGTTCTGCAAGAGAAATTGAGTCATGGGATTAAATTGCGTTATACCAAACTAGTTTGTACTGTGTTTTGCTGTAAGTGAAATGTTACATGAGAAGATAATTTTGTGAAAACCCAGTTTGGGAAGGAGCTTTTTGTAAGGGTTCATCTGAACTTTGTTTTTTTTTTTTTTGTAGCATGTCAGTTAAAAAGTTTGAATCTTGCGTTATGATGACTTGAGGATCTGTTAAACAGCTCTTTAATAAAAGTTTGAGATGTGCATTTGGATTGTTGCCTGTGTATCAGCTATATGTCACTGCAGTTTCACAAACTGGAACTAAAGGTCAGTGACTATACCCACAACTTAGTGAAAATACACGTTTTTACAGAGAAAGGATGAAGCCCCATTTTGAATCTAGTAGAATGTTTTTAGTTTTGACTGATAATATCTTGTGGAAAAGTTTGCTTTAAAACAAGCCTGGTGCCTTTTCTATCCAAGAATTTTCCCAGGCTTGCAGAAGCTGTAGGAGGTAAGCAGTCACTAACAGTTCTAGTTTTTTTTGTCAAGTTGCTTTTTCATTGATTTTTTTTTTTCTTATCAATGCAGTATGCAGAGACAAAGATGCATATCATTGGGTCCCCAAGGAAAAGAGCAAGGTCATTACATTTTGCACAGCTGAACAAGCTTACAGGGTTCTCATGGCTTGCTGTTTAGCTCACAGTGCTGAGCACTGTGTCTTGTACAGTCTTCCCACTAAATCCAGGCAGGTAATACTTCTAAATCTGCTTACAGGATAGGAGCCTTAGTACCCAAGTTAGTGAGACTGAGAACTGACTGGGCAATGCTAGGGAATCTCTCATTGTGGAAAAGTGGGGCTGTCATTCTTTGTATTAATATCCTTGCAAAACTATTAAATATCCACCTAGAGAAATATTATTAATTTTGTAGACTGTAATTTTTCTGCTATATATTATGCAAAAATAGTAAAATATTGTGTACTTGGAAGTGAGCTGAACGGACAGTATACTTAAATTGCTGCTCATAAGTAGTGGATGTATTTAAGCATTATATTAATAATGCAGACTAAAATACTGTGGACAGTAAGGCTTCTTTTCCTGAGAAGTATCTTTGAAGATTTTTGCATCCATTCTGAATTTCAGGTAAATTGAGGGTGCTTTTGGTGTCAGGCTGCAGTGTGAGTGAACTATTGGAAGAAGCTGTGAGCTCATAAAGCTTGCCCATTTCTGTGAAGAGAAGTTAAAGAAAAGAGTCTCTTGTAACGCAGAGCAAACATTTCAAGGGAACCTGGTTTAGTGTTTTAAAGGACCGCTGAGTGTTTCTTGGTTTGTCTCCCATCATAACTTATGAGTTGTGGTCAGGCAACTGAGGGAGTTCTGCAATTGTTACATTTTCTATAAAACTACTGTTCTGGCCCCATTCTTTGCAATCATTTACACAGAAAGGTGCTAAATAAATGATGGCTGTTCTAGCGTGGAGCTGCATGCTCCCATAAAAATAATGGAGCCAACAAACCAGTCCCTAGAATGGTATTGAAATAACTCAAGAAAAGTCATCTTTACTACTTTTTATGAGAGGGTGAGAGTTGGAAAGACCAAGTCAGCTGGAAAGGAGAAATAAAAACTTGAGTAATACTTGCAGAAAGATATGATATTTAATTTTGGTTTAAGCTGTGTGATTCTTTAAATAAATATTTAATCTGCAGGAAAATATTTCAGTGTGATTTACACTGGAGGCAAACACTAGCAAGGGAAGTTGGGGTGGGGAATGAAGTGCCCTGTCAGCTGCCTGTTTATTTTATTTTTTTCACTCAAGTAGTCTTACATGAAGAACATGTTGAAAAACTTACCGAAAAATTCCATGTCAGTACCTTCTTAATTCAAGAGAATCTGGTTGTCCTGGTGGCAAGTCAGGGTAAGTGTTCTTAAAAGGTTTTGCTGAACTCATTTTAACCTAAGAACAGTGTAACCACATATCTGTGATTCCATTTAAGTGATTCTGCTGCCTGTAGTTAGTGCTAAATTGGGGTCACTGAATGTTTTTTCCCCATCGTCTACCTCCAGGTTTATGCAAAGGTGCTATTTGTATTGGAACTTCAGTTCAAGATTAGGTTGAAGGTTCTTTACAGACTAGTGCTGAGAAATTACATCAAACCTTTCATTGAACAATTAAATACTTTTTTTCAAGCTAAATTCAATTTTATGGGATGTATAAAACAACATTGACAATGTGTTTTCTTTTAATGCTGTTTTGAGCAGAAATTATGTACAATTCTTGTAACTAAAGGAAAATAGTAGTTAATGTGTTGGTTTTGCATGGCCTGGTTTTTGGTAGTGGTGGAGCTACAGAGGTGGCTTCTGTGAGAAGCTGCTGGAAGCTTCCACTGTGCCAAGCAGAGCGAGTCCCTGATGGGTCTGAGGATAGATGTGCTATGAGTCAAAGCTGGGCCAATTAGAGGTGATGTTAAAGCATTTCTGAATTAAGAAAATCAAAACAAAGTGGGTGCACTGGTTGTTCTTTTTCCCAGTCAGCGAAAAGAAGGTGAGAACACGTGAAGGAAACAACATGGCAACACCAAGGTCAGTGGAGAAGGAGGAGGCCGGAGGTTCTCCAGGTGCTGGAGCTGCGATTCCTCTGCAGGCCGTGGTGAGACCTGCAGCCCATGGGGATCCACAGGGGATGCAGAGATCCCCCCGCAGCCCGTAGTGGAGGTGCCCATGCAGGAGCAGGTGGATGCCTGGAGGAGGCAGTGATCCAGTGGGAAACCCAGTGGAGAGAGAGGGCCCAGCTTCCAGGCTGGAGCAGCCTGTCCTTGGAGGACTGCACTCCGAGGGAAGAGTGACCCTCGCCACAGCAGTTTTGGGAGGAGTGTCTGCCCATGGGATGGGCTCACAGTGCAGCAGTTTTGGCAGGACTGCTCTCATGAGAATGGACCCCACCTGAGAAGTTCACAGAGAACTGTCTCCCATAGGAGGGACCCCACAGCGTAGTAGCGGAAGGACAACTCTCTCACAGCAGCAGAAGAAAATCCTTGAGTGATGAACTGACCAAACCCCCATGCTCTGTCCTGTGCACTGTCAGTGGGAGGGAAGGGTTGGGGGAAGAAAAGGTGTTTACTTAAGGGCTTACTTTACTTCTCATTATCCTTCTCTGATTTTGTTTGTAATAAATTCACTTTGTACCTCTAAGTCAAGATTGTTACGCCCTTGGAGTGTTTTCTCCTGGTCCTTATTTCATACCTCATGAAGCCTTCATTAAGTTTTCCCTCTCATCCACCCAGCCACGGCTGGGGAGGGTAAGTGAGCAACTTTCATGGGTGCCTGGTGTTTGGCTGGTGTCAAACCATGGCAATGAGTAATTTACAATCTTTGGTCTGGAGCTGTTCATGTGCTATGGACAAGTAAGGAATCTAAAGGTAGTAGCTGAATAAAGCAAAGCTTTCACAGAATGCAGAACTTTTCTGATTAAGGGGTGCACCCCAACTCAAAAATTACGGCCATAAGGATTGAAGGACTATAAACAAGAGTTCTGAAAACCAGAAAGGAAATAGAATGTCTGCAAACTAATACCAGGTTAATTAAAATCCTCCAGAGTGTTTTGGCAGATAGGAAAGCAGACCATAGTCTGCTGAAGACATAATAAAGTCTATTCTGAAAAGATCTCTTTCATTGTTGATAATGCTCATAGGAATTTACATTGACCTACAAATTAGCTTTAAGAATGCTAAAGAATGGACCTGTCTCTCTTCACTGACTTCAGTTAAAGGACTGGGAACAAAAAGAAAGGTTGCTGAATATTTTCAGTGTGTCAGCTGGCTTTATGCAAAATCTGTATTAGTCTGATTTAAGACAAAGTGTAAAGCTTCAATGTTAGGTAATAAGGAGTTTGTTTTCTGTTAGCCAAGTTTAGTAATTTTAATGTGCTGTCCAGCCATTCCAGGAATTCCCTGGTGACTCAAGAGGAGGATATTTGACATCTGTCATAACTTTTTCAGTGACACCATAAATTGACAGGTCTTGGTCAAATGTGGATGTCTGTACATTGTCCTGTACTTCAGAAATTGTGAAAGGTAAAAATAGTACTCTGTGTCATTACAAATTTTACTTTTTTGTGTGACTTCCACTCTGTGTGGTTAGTGTCAGTCTTTGGCAATAACATTTCTTACAAACTCTCAGTTACCTGAGGGTTTTATGGTATGACTGTCTCCATGGCTTAACTCCATTAACTAATAAGTAACAGTAGATGAAATCATTTGACTATGGAGTTTGGACCAAGGAATCTTGTGGGAATCTTACATTTTAGCACATTCTCTTCAAATTTTCCTGATACTTGTATTCTTTTCTAGCAAGCTTAAGAAAAGTGTTGAAATCAGTAGAAGTAATTTGGGACAATAGTTAGTAGCGCTTGAAATATAAACATTAAGTGGTTTTTATTTTATGCTGCTTATTTCCTTCAAAGTAACTATGGTAGAGTCTTTGGCGCTTCTGAAGGTAATGAAGGTAATGAGTTTGGCTTTTATTTTTTTAGTAAGCAGAAAAATATTATCTGTTGTCACGGGACACTTAGAGGAACTACTTTGTATTCAAGACTCCCCTTGACTATTCAAGGGGATTCATCTCTTTGTTCAGAGTTGACAAATTATTTAGGAGCCAAACTGCTGAAAATACCTCTTCCTCTTTATGCTTCTAAATAAATCTGACTTGCCTTTTGGAACCTGATACCCATCTATAACTAAGAATATATAAGTGAGAATTATTTTCTCACTGCAAATGTACAGTGCTTGCTGACACTGTCTTAGAATACTATGGACAATGGCTATAGTCAGCTACTTTCAGTGTTAGATGAACTTGTCATTCTCCCTGCAGTGCAATACTATCAAGCAGGATTTTCTTGCACTGTTTCTTTTCCCTCCTTCTTTAACTAAGTCACATAAAATAATTTTCAATACCCAATCCTTAAAATCTCCCAACTTCAAAGACTGCTGTGCTTCACTCATCCTCCACTCTTAAAAATGAAATATGCATGGTCATAAGAAAGG